TTTTTTAATTTGTTGGATTTGAATATATTTTGTATTATTATTCTCATTTTTTTTTTTTTGCTTTTTCTTTTTTCTATTTTCCTTATTTTATATGCTTTATGTTTTGTACTTTGGATTCTTTGTATTTCTTCTTCTGCTTTTATTAAATCCGTGTTCACAATCCCTTTACTTTTTCCTTTTTTTTTTTTTTTTTTTTTTTTTTTTTTTTGATATTTATTTTGGTGTGTAAGATGTGAACTGCTTTTAGGTTCTTGTATTTAGTAATTTGTTTACGTATGATTTTTATTTTGTATGATTTCGTAATTTTTTTTTTTGCTATTTTCCCCCCTTTTTCTCATATGCTTTGCGGTTTGTGGTCTTATATCGATAATTTCTAAAAATACTTTGTTTGAAAAGCTTTTCTACAAAAAGTAGCAGAAGCAAAAATCCTGTCAAATCTCTACATTGCTTCCTAGGCTGGATTTGAATCTGTTACGAATATGAAATTTTATAATTGCAGGAAAACAAATGACAAAGTCACTCATAGAACATCCTTTTGGACTGCAAAAATGTATCACAATGATGCCAAAAAAAAAAAAAAAAAAACTGAAATTTACACGCGCACACGCACACAACCATTGAAGAAGATAACACATCTTGTTAGTTATTTCATGTTAGTGTTCTTGATCGACAATGATACCAATAAACATGTTTAGTACCCAAATGGCTAAGACCCATTCGCAGCCCAAACACATTAGGCTGCGCTCTACCATTAAGCTAATAACTTCGCCCACGAAAGAATTGACGAAGTATGAAAATATCAGTAAAGACTGAACTTATTTATCAGAACAGGCACTTTGTACTGCCAAGAGGGAAGACTTTGGTTAGAGTTGATAGAACAGGGGATAAATGGAACAAATAGTAACAGCAAATGCAAGCTGGGGGAAAAAATCATATATAATTTACATAATAAAATGGTATTTTTATGGGGGAAAAAAAAAAGCAACTTCCAGTTGCCTAAGGATGTACAGAAAAATTTATAAATCATAATGTTGAAAAATGATCAAAAAAAATATACAGATGGGGGGAGAAATCATCATGTCAGGCCTCAACCCAAAGCTGGCAACTTGTTCGAGTCAAACAAAACCAGCAAAATAGCTGTGCATTACTACACTAGAGTAATATGTGGTTCGAAAAGATATTAAAGGCTAATACGTTACACCTACAAAGAAGGCCAACTTATGCAGTATAGTGAACTGTGTTTCAGAATGCATACCAAAGAAAGATGAAATCCTATTTCTTGAAACTTCTATTTAATGAGAGGGCTCAACCCATCACCTTCCCAACCCAGCTTGAGCATTTGATCTACAACCTTCAAGCTCAACTGCAGGCAACAGACGAAGTTATAAACCCATAAAAGATAAGTAACAAAAATTAATAAATGCACAATTAAGGTTCCATGCTGAATGAAGTATGACTCATATTTACATTCAAAAATTAAGTAGAATAAAAAGGAAATCCTCAGCTTAGATGCAGAGACCTTAGATATATGGGCTAGAAAGAAATTGCTCAATGACACTTTTTTTCCTGTAGTTTTTTTTATAGATATCAAGGTCTTGACATGGCACAAACATGATTGAATATTTTACCCCTTCTCTTTCAAAAGAGAGTGACTCTGCTTTACTGTCAAAATTAACTTACTAGTTGAAAGAATGATTTATTTTAAAACTTGTGTAGTAAGAAGTAAACTTTTTTAGCTTAGCCAAACATGCTTGGCTCTTTCTCGTTCCTTATCCTCTGAATAATATTAACCACACAAAGACATTGCTAAGTACTTAACAGTGCAAGGTAGTATTTAACAACCCTAAACAGACTAAAACTGGCTTCAACTTACAGCAGGATCTGTGAATATTATCAACTGTTTATCAGCTGTTGACACCAAGAGGTTTGTATTATCCTTGTTCAGAGCAATAGCAGTAATATCTTGCCCTTTTCCCAGGTTCATTACATTAAAGACCTGCAAGCAGAAGGATCACTACCAGTTAACTGAGAAGAATTCCATCAGAAACGAGACTATGTAAACATTTTAATCAAATTGTGTGCTTTGAACACAGTATATGCACTCCTAACCAACATAACTAAGGTCATAAAACAAGGCCTTTCATTTTGAATTCCCCCAACTCCAAATTTTGCTTTACCTTTAGAGTATAAAGATCAAAAAAGCAAATTGAAGGCAATGGCAAGTCCCATGTATTTTCTTCATTCGATTCCCCATCTGTATATCCTTTTGATGTCAAATCCAGACTGAAGTCAGAGGCCTCATTTTCCAATGATGGGTTTAATCCAACTATAGCACTATTGCCATCAATAGAAACTTCAATGCAACTAATGCTTGATGAGAGAGGAAGCTGTTTCGTAGCAATAAGAATTCCATTAAGATTATACGTGCTGAGAGTACAAAGAGATTTGTTCCAAGCCATTACGATCCCATCACGTGATAAGCAGAGAGCATGAGCTTCCACACCAACAAGCCTCCTAATCAACCGGCCTCTTCTAACTGAATGAAGCAAGACATCTGATGAGTTGGAGCAAGAGGCAACAATTCCAAGGTCTGAACTGATAGTACAGCATATTATTTCCCCCAGATGACCCCGGAGGACGTGTATGGGATCCTCAATTCGGTGTTGCCTATTTTTCTCTGCCGAGTGATGTCCTGCTACACTGCTGGTGGTGGTTGTGGATGTGCTTGAATTAGCGGAAGGATCTGACGAGCTACTAGAGTGGGAAGTGGATGCTTGATGTAATCTCCAGAGTAGAAGAGTTGTGTCACAAGATCCTGTCACGAGGTAGGTCCTATCAGGAGATATAGCCAGGCAAGTCACCGGAGCACAATGACCCTTGGCTATTTCCAAGGTTTTTGCTCCATCTGCAGATATCAGCCTCACACTGTTATCCACATGCCCCCCTAGATAAAATGCCAAGATTTTGAAGTTAGATACAAGAATGTGGCCCAGGCAACAGTAAGGCAAATGTCAGGATGAAAAGCAACAGCTGACCATCTATTATAATAAAGCAGTATCTAGCAATTTAGGTCAAATACTTTTCTATACTTTAAATATTGACAATATGTGACATGAATTTCACAAGACCAGAACTTAAAAAGGATTTTTTGCCCCAAAATAATTGGAATAAACACTCACCAGTGATAATTTCTTTGTCATATAAGATAGAAACTATAGCAGAGCTTCGAATCCCAGAAGTTGGAAATGCCAATGCCTGGGGAAAATGCCACTCTTCTGATCCAGAACCAGTTGATCCTTTAAACATTCGAATTAACGAACCACCAGCCAAGTTTGCACCAGACTTTCCATGTTCAAAAAGGAAAGGTGTCCCCTTTCCATCAGGGGTGTTTGGCTGCCATTTATGTTGAGCTATATGTGCAGCTGGAGCATTTATATCAACAATCACAAGAGAATCCGATGATGCATGAATTGCAGCCGCAGGGAGATTGCAGCGTTCGGGATATGGAACAACATATGGTTTAACCTCTCTGGGATTCCGGAATATGGTCTACCATATTACAATATCATTAGATCATTATGTGAGTCACTTCTTAACATAATGCCTCATAGCATGCTTGAACGGAGTTAGTAGTTCAATGCAATAATATTCTAGTTCTTCAGTATGGTGTAGAGTAGTTCAAATACAGTTTATGACCCTCCAGGAAGTAGCTAAAAATCCATTTTTCCTTCATAAAATTTAGTACACTTAATTGACAATGAGTAAAAAACTCCAACCAAAAACCAACACACCCAAATAATAACTGAATCATCAACTGACCATATAAATTTCATGGAACAACAATGTTCAGAACTCAAATGCCACCAAATCCAAGGGTTTTATTAAAAACAGTTGAGGTTCCCAGGTACTACTCCATCCATCCCATAAAGATAGCCAGATAGGCTTGCTTTTCTCTTTGTCTGTTCCAAATTATAAGCTGCTTTTCTTGAAAGTACAAACGATTTTTTAGGTCTAATATGCACATATTTAATGTGCCTTGTTATCAACAAATATGAATTACTCATATTTAAATCATTAGTTAATGTAGTCGTACACAGGGAAAAATGTAAGAAGAATTATATTTTCAATCACATTAATTGCAAGAATTGGCTGAATGCTTTTCCTATTTTGGATCCATTGCATTATATAGGATGAAGTTTACATACATACATCTAAATATGGTAAATGTAAATATGGTAAAATACAATAATGTACTTAATTAAGGTAATATAAGCTGTCCATAATCTTTATCATAATCTTCGTCGATCTTATTAACATCTCTCAAATTGATCCTGGACGATCTAGAAACATTAATTTGCTGACAAGAAACTGATGACATTGTTGAGTTATTGCTTTGGTAAACACTTCAACGATCTAAACATCAATTGTGATATGTGGAAGAGTAACAATTTGATCATCATAAGCCTCACATATAGAGTGACAATTCACTTCAATGTGTTTAGTGCACTCATGGAACACAAGATTAGCAGTAATTTGAATGGGTCTAGTGTTGTCAGCATGAAGTGGAGTAAGTTCAAACTGGGGCCATCCAAGCTTCGCTAGAAGACCTCGAAGCCAATCAATCTCAAAACAGACAGAGAACATAGCACAATACTCAGATTCAGTGGAAGATTTAGAGAAACAATCCTGCTTCTTACTTCGCCATAAAATAAGCACATTACCAAGGTACATTCACCAACTGGTAATTGAATGACAAGTATCCCTACATCCAGCCCAATTAACATCACTATAGCCCCCTAACTTAAGAGAAGAATTGACAAGGAAGAAAAGACCACTATCAGGTGTACCCAACAAGTATTTAGGCTTTGTTAGATACCAATTTTTTCAAAATATATTTTTCTCTCTTCTTTTTAACCACACATTTTCCACTAAAATAATATTACACGTGAATCAAAAACTTTTCCTTATTTTTCAAACACACCTTTCTCATAAATCTACTATTCTAAAATGCATTTTTTTAAAAAAAAAGGGCTCAAACACCCTTCTAATAATGCGACGAACAGCAACCAAGTGGGAGGTGTTGTGGTGCATGCATAAATTGGCAAACTTCTTGGACAGCAAAGAAAATATCGAATTATGTAATAGTGAGGTAATTCAAACTACCTATTAACTGGAGATACGAGGGATCAAGAAGATTACCCTCCTTGCGATTCTACACATTCACCTCTAAAGGAATATCAACAGATTGACCGTCCTGAAGGCTAGCTAATAAAATCAGCTCCTTTATATACTTATGTTGATGTAGGTAAGTCCCAACTGGATTTGAAAGCATCTCAAGACGTAAGAAATACTGTAAAGATCCCAAATCTTGTACATGAAATGACTCCTTGAGACGGTCTTGAAGATGAGACATCAATCCAGAGTCAATTTCAATAATAACTATATTATCCACATAAACAAGAAGCACAATACCTGCCTCGCTGTTAGAGATAAATAACAACAAATCATACTAACTCTCAGTATTTGAGAACCCCTGGAGAGTGGAATGAAACTTGACAAACCAAGCATGAGGAGCCTGTTTCAACCCATAAAACAAACGTTTTAGTTTAGAAATATCAAAAGAGGGCAAAGAGAATAGTTCCGTGGCGTGACATATAAATCTCTTCCTTAAGATCGCCATGCAATAAAGCATTCTTGACATCCAATTGTCGCAAAAACCATCCCTTGGACGCAGCTATGGCAAGAACGGTATGAACCATTGTCATTTCGGCAAAAAGGACAACTCTCCTTATAATCCTCACCATATTCTTGACAATTACCAAGAGCCACCAACTGAGCTTTATATTGATCTAGAGATTCATCAAAGCATAACTTAAGAATAGATCCACTTATACCCAATAGGATTGACACCAAGAGGACAAGGAACAGTATCCCATGTGTAGTTCTCCTTAAGAGCTCGAAGTTCCTCTTGCATTGTTTTCTCCTAACAAGTTTTGAGTAACTGCTTGAGAATAAAAAATAGGAACGTTGATATGAGATAAGGTTGCGGACAAACTATACCGATCGGGAGGCTAAGTGATGCAAGTGGATCACCTAAGAGAAGTAGAGTCTGGAAGGGGATTAGGGTTAGGAAAGGGCAGTGGGGCTGGAGGACATCCTCAAAACTGGTTTAAAATGTTCGATGGAACGAGAGCCATCCTCAAAACTAAGGAGTGAGGTTAAATTAGGGGACATGACATGTTGCTGAAAGTAATACTGATTCTCAAAGAAAACCACATTTCGAGAGAGATGAAAATAATTAGTAACACCATCATAACAAACAAAACCCTTATGAGCAATATTGTAATCCATGAAAGCACATTGCATGGATTGCGCACCAAATTTATAACATCCATGAGAAGGCAAATGAACAAAGCAAACACGCCCAAAAGTATACAACCTGTCATAGCTAGGATGTATACCATACAGGTGTGCAGAGTAGGAAGTCGATTTATTAGATGTACAACTGTGAAGAGGGATTCAACCTAAAATCTAGGCGGAACCGAAAATTCTAAGAGCAAAACTTGGATATCTAACAAGTGACGATTATTTCTTTTGGCTCCCATGTGCTGTTAAGGAATATCCAAACGAGAGTGTTGAGAGAGTATCCCCCTTTTTTGTAAGAAAGACTGATAATCATGAGACATGTATTCCCCATCGTTGTCGGACCTCAAAATTTGAATACTGGAAGAGAACCGTGTCTCAATATAAGCTACAAAATCACTTTTAGATATAAGAATTATATCCAAGTGTAACGACTAAAATATCAATAAAGGTTACAGAATATTTATAAGGGAAAATTGCAGCAACAGTCCCGAACCTTTTTGTTTTTTGCAGATTTTATTCTAACATTCATTTTGTACCAGCGAAGATCCTTAACATTTCATAAATATGTACCTGATGTCTATCTGGATGGAAATCGTCCAAAACACAATCAGTTGATTGGAAATTTTTTTTGAACTATCTGCTATCATGACAGTTATATTGGATGTTGATGTTGATACCTTTTTGGACGGTGTTTTTGGACAATATTTTGGACGATTTTATTGGATGTTGATTCCTTAATTTTTCCGGTCAACTTATGGTATTTTGGATGGTTTCCGTCCAGATGAACCTCAAGTGCATATATATGAAAGGTTAGGAACCTCCGTTAGAATAAAATGAAGGTTAGGGTAAAGTCTGCAAAAAAGGGAAAGGTTAGGGATCGTTGCTGCAATTTTTCCTATTTATAATGAACATGTGAAATGAGGGGTGCCACACCTAAACATCACTATGAATAATCTTAAAGCATTTATCGACATGACTCTCATAATTCAAAAATGGAAGAGTTTTCCTTTTCCCAAGTTTACAAATATCACAATTAAGAGTCAAATTGGAGGACTGAAATTGATCTTTATTGTCCAAAAAAACCATATTTCGATAAATGAGACAAAATTAAACCACAAGGATGACTTAATTTCTTGTGTCAAATATCATGTTCAAGTCCAACATTAATGCAAAACAAAAATATAGTGAAAGGCATTGTAAACTGTAATGGAAATAATCATCCGACTTTAGGCCCCCTCACACCTGCTCGGCCACTGATCGTGCACAAGACAACCAGTATGAGAAAAACATACAATTATCAACCAATTGTCCAACCGAAATCAAGTTAGTAGATAAACTCGAAGATATAAAAACATTATTAAAAGAAGAATCAATGTCACCAAAAGCAGTAATTGAGAGGGTACTGCCATTGGAATTTTCAATGTGTTGTTCACAAGTGTAGCGTCGAATGTTGTGCAAGGAATCAGAACTACATATGAATTGATTCCCCAGAGTCGACAAACTAAGGAGAAGAAACAATTTGACCATTACCTTGTAGGCCTAATGTAGAGAAGGCTAAAACAATTGTTTGTTGTCTATGATTTGACGCCCCTAAGATAACAAACTAAGGAGAAGAAATAGCTTGACTGTTACCCTATAAGCTTAAGGCATAGAAGATTGAAACAATCATTTGTTGTACCATTTCTAGAGTAAAAACTAGTTTATGGTGCTAGCTAGTGGAAGTACGAGAGCAGGTCCTGGACATCGGCTTGAAATGGCCAAGCCTTCCAGTTTTGAGGCCGTGTAGGACACTTCTTGGTGATATTCTCTGGTTGCTTGCAATAATTGTAGACCCTTTGAGGACAAGTACGAGCAATATGGTTATATATTTTGCAGGAGAAAAACTGGAGTTCACCCTTTCCTTACCCTTAGGTAGTATGTGCAACAATTACCACATCATATAAGAATATATCAGCTCCAATATTAGATTGAGTAGCTAGTGTTGCTCATCGCGAAAGTGTTCACCCAAACACATCCAACAAAGACAATGGATCACAATTCAATAAACCCGCTCGAACCACTGTACTCTTGGGTCGTAATTTCATAAGAAACTCATCGTGCTTACTAACCTCTTGAATCTCTAGCAGATGCTTATAAGGCCACCGCAATGATCTTAGCACGAATTATCTTGGAATACTCACTCCACAAGTTCAGAAAACCCAAATAACATTGCTCAATAGTAAAATTACCTTGGGTGTAATTAGCTATTTCAACTCCAATAGAAATCTCCGTGCATTATTATCTTGATAATAGATGCGTTTTAAATACTCCCACCTCTTTAGCAGTAGTAAAAGAGCGTAAATTATTCACCATGTGCATCCAAGAAATAATATGAGCATCCTTCATTTCCTGCACTTAGATCTTTAGCATCTTTAGGCGCCTTTAAGGACCAATAAATGTGACCTCAATCTCCTTCCCTTTTAAAAACATCTTAAATTGAAATTTCCATGTGAAATAATTCTTTCCCGTAAATTTAACACAAAAAGCTTCAATCGACATGCCTTCAAAGAGATCACCAATCAAACAAACACTAAAAAATTAACCTAATCCACAAACTGAACCAAACCCCCCAAATTAACGTAAGCCCAAACCAATTGATCCAAGGAAGAAAAGACCTAACTCAGGCCCAAATCATCACAGCCTAAAACACCACTACAAGGAATCACGACACTCCAAATTACCACAGACCAAATCACTATAGCCAAAAATCACATCATCAACTACATTCCAATCACCAACAATGTAGACAATCGGCAACAGATTACAGCCTGAACACTTCTTACCCACTACGCACCAATCTTAGACAATCGAGCAGAAATCACAACCCAACTAGTCACCTACCGACACATCTTAGAAATTCGATGATACCACAATGCCACACATGGACTGAATTGTGTAGATTCCTGAACACCACAGAGTCGTACGTTGACAAGGATTCCGTCAACCAAGGAGCACCACGAGAAAACCCACACATTAAGAGGCTAAGTTACTGTTGGATTAAGGCGCAATAATAAAGAGATAAAATAGAGAAATCAACACAAGAATTTACGTAGTTCGGCAGTGTACCTACATCCACGAGAGCGAAACGGAGATAATATTATCCAGTATGAAAAATAGGGTTACAATATTATTATTTATACTAACCCTAGCCTATGCCCATAAAGATTTTAAGGCCCGTACAAGAAAATATCCATGTAGCGTACTGCGAGGACGTTGCCCTAACACCCCCAACCCATTCAGTGTCTCTAGCAACCCTACAGTGGATTAAACCCGCACATGCCGATATTTGATCCAGGGAATTTATGTTCCACTCTATATGAGCCACATACACAACAGTTAGTTAAGGACCAAAGATTCAATATGAGAACCCAGGTCCATTGCATTATATAAGATGAAGTTTACATACATACATCTAATTTATAGTAAATGTAAACATGGAAAAATACAATTATGTACATAATTAAGCTAATATGAGTTGTCCATAAGCTTCATCATAATCTTCGTTGATCTTATAAAAATTGCGTTTTCATAATCTGCTTGAAATGGAAGCACTTTGTGGGAAGAGGGAATAGATGCAAGCACCATATGAAAAATTGGTTTCAAATTCAAATTAATATCACATAAGTAACTTAACAAAAGTAGTAATTGCAAATGCCATGAGTCATTTGTTTAGAGCAACATGAATAAGTTCTTATCAATAAACAACTCAAATACACAAAAGGGGAGCCCCATACTTAAAAATCAGAATTCTCTATTAGAAGTATAAATTCGGCTTCTTTCGTCTACATTATGGAGGTCTATCATCTTCCATCTTAGAATTGTGAAATATAATCTCTATTTGTCGATACTTAAGGGCGTGAGAAACAATAGTAGGGCATAAGATGGAAAGAGAAGCAAGCTAGAGAGAGCGAGAGAGGAGAACGTATAGGTAATAGATTGCAAAAGTACATAAAACTCACTGGTTATAAAATGATATGAAGCAAACGTGAACAGCACATTGTGAGCAGATTATAAATAGAAATAGGAGAGGGTCATACTGAGGAATAGCAAGTAAGACTAAATATTTGCCAAAGGAAGTGAAGATTAAATGCAGAAGGCCCAATGCAGCCAAAGAGAATACATACAAAAGTACAGAATACCTGCATGTGTAGGACATCAGCCAGTGGCATCCTTTTCATGTGAGGTACTCTAAGAAGTTGTGATGGGGTTTGGCCAAAGTAAGCAATCTGGTCTTGTGTAGCTCGTTGTTGTGCCTTTTCAAAACAGTTGAAAAGATACAAGTATCAGCTATCTAAGATGGAGGCATAATTATAACAAAATGCATTGGAAAACGTTGGAGCAGAGCACAAACTCACTGGGTCTGATATTTTATCAATATCGACTGTTCCTTCATAAGTGATGTAGAAGAAAACATTGCTTGCCTGTATGGCTTCCTTTCCACGTTGCTTGTACCTAAGTATTAAAATTAGCTTGTCAGCAATACGAAATTGTGGCAAATAAACAAATATCTTGAAATTATCCTTATTCCAGAATAATTAAGAGAAAGATCAAGATTAAAATACAGAAATCTACATTTCAGATACGGCTTCAAAGATAAAACACAACCTACCCAAATATGAGATTGATCCATTCATGCAAATACGCTGAAACATGCTCACTCTCAAGTGCCATCCGATGCTTATGGATGAAATCCACTGGATTTTCAGCCCAAGGAGGAAGCTGAACTGAGTCTGTAAAGTGAGGGAAGAAATGGGGAAAAAATGGCAAATGTAGATGCCAGAATTACATTGGTTGCAGCCAAGGAATGTATATAACTCTACTTCGCTATTGTAAACAATTGAAAATGCATACCAATCTTTCCTCCCAGTTGAGTCATACCGAAATCAATTGAGTTTAAATTGGTTAAAACCTCTGGGAGATAAAATAGTTCAGGGACCTGACACATATACACACAAAAGAACAGCAACATTAGATCATACAAGTTATTTGCTTGTGTGCATTCGGAATGAATTGCAGTCAAGAGTCTAGATGTGACAAATAAGCAAGCAAACGCCTAAGAAAATGATTTAAAGACCCCAAACAAGCCGCAATTGCTTTTCAAACTCGAATTATATGGGTAAAAAAGGGAAAAGAAAGTCACAGCAACACTTGGACAGATTTATACCAATTCCTTTACATCACTCATGTCCTCGAGAACTCCATTCCAAGTTGCAGCAATGTCTGAGAACATTCTGTCCGCATGATCAAACTTGCCACCTTGAAGCTGAATAGAAAGAGTAGTAAAAGGTTCCAGTCTCATGAGGTAATACAGCACCTGCAAAATCATCATAAAGGTTCAAAATTTTGTTCTATACTCACATCACATGCACCTAAGGGGCGCGAAGAACTCTACTGATAGACAAGACACCATCATGGCACAGCTAAGAGGAAGAGAATAGTTTCTCATGTTGATATTTGTTATGCACTCACGCTCATCAATGCGATAGATGGCTCAAGCTATCAAATTAACATTTAATCATTGAAGGCATTATATATAATGACTAAATTTTCAACAACTGATCATATATCATGCTATTACTACTTGCTTGCTTTCCAAAGGGCCAATCAACCTGGCAAACAAGTGGATTTAAATAATTTAGATTCCTCCTCATTACTACATTCTACTTTGATTTTCCATATATGGATAGTAAGGCGGTAAAGAAGATGGTAAAGGGATGGGCAGTTCCCAGTTAGATCAGAGCTTTCACCATCCCATTTAAGTTACACAGTAGGTTATTTCCTTCATTTTGATGATGTCTGATGAAGCAATATTATTTTGGCCAAAACTTGAGAAGCAAGTTTAACAATGATTACCAATACACTATTCTTGGTGAGAGACTTGTAGCAAATCCGGAGGCTTGCATTCATGCAGTGCGATATATGTGCATGCAAAGTTACAGGACCATATACTTCAACAGTAGAAATGTGCAAGCCAATGAAAAAAAGAAAAACCTACCGTTCCAGCTGTTGAATAATGTGAACCATAATGGAACTTGGGAATGACTGGATCATCAAAACTGGAGTATCTCTCTTGGAATTTCTTTAATCTATCAGCATTCAATGCACCAACGGGCTGCAAAAGTACTCACATACAAGTTAGCAAAAAATTTGAAATCTACAGTGATAACTTCAGAAGCAAATTCTAAATTGCACCACCTTTGAGAGATCTCGATAAGTAGCAGGATTATAAAGATCCAAATTATCTGAGCTGTAATCAGAAAGGATCCATGGGAATACAGGATACTGCAAATAAGAACGGAATTTAATAATAGAAGCAAAAATTATTTTCTGTTGATGGGTTCAGTGGTTGAAATATTCTCAGTGACAGTCTACCTGTGTAATGTCATTATAAGTACGTCCAGCCAATGTATTAAGCTGCATTAAATATTCAAAATTGCTGATCTGCAAAGAATTTACTACTTAGCATATAGATATATTGGTGAACTGGGAAAGTTAAGTTAAATACTCTAAATGAATTGTCCAAAGTTAAACTCAACATACCTCCCACCTAGCCCAACGTTCCATAAGCTGAGTTCTTTTTAAAAGTTGTTCAGGTCTCTGCAAAAGAGGAAAGAGAGATATAATTCAATATATTCTGCATAAAATAACTAAAACTAATCTAAAATGTTCCTTATCATGTGTGTATGTATATGTTCAAGGATTATGAAGTGCATCACTGCTTGTGATGTTTGCATGAGAGGTAGCAAGGGATCAGATGGTAAAAAAACCTGAGTTGCAAGGTAGATATTGTTCAAATGAGGAGGACGAGCTTGAACAATAGCTCGATATGCATTTCTTTGTCCATCAGTTGCCTACAGACGAGAACATAACCAAAATATGGAAATATATGAAGTTAGTCAAAAGGGCCAAGCCCAGCAATTACAAAATGTTTTAAAAAGACGTACCCCAAAATCAAAGAAGTAATTTGATCGGTCAACCATAAACAATTCCAGTGCACTTCTTCTCAAAAGATATCTGTAAGAACAGTTGTTCTAAGTTGGATTTTCTAGTTAAAATAATTGCAACGTGCATAATGCACCATCAAATCCACCCTTGAACTCAAAATAATAGATACACAAATTGGTAATCCTTTATAAATCAATTAAAACACAAGCAACTTTTTATCCACATATTTTGGTGGTCTCACAAGTACTATCCACTTATTCATCATTCAATTTTTATCTATTTATAACTTTAACCATCTATAAAAAACATGCTTTGAATAGGGAAAAGCAAAGTATGAGAATAGGACATGAGAAGGAAAAAAGGAACTGCCTTTCCAAAAAGAGTATATAGATTTTCTTAACTTGGCAACAGTATAATAGGTCTGCACAACCTTGAGAAAAACAATAAATCCTGAAGTCCCTATTCCAATAATAAAAGCAAAAACTGCAATCTCTAGGTGAGAAATAAGTGAACCTTTCCAATTAAAGTAAAGGCAAAAGCAAGGCAAAAGAATAGAAACAAAAGATGATTCTGCTGACTGACCTCTCCCTACCCCATCCAGCAAAAAAAGAAGGGAAAAAACCACAAAAAGGGATAGTAAGCACAATCAGTATCTACTCAGAAATTCATTTTACAACATAATAATATACATAGAATGGGAAAAGCTCAGATAGCAACAGAGTTTCACTATCACCTTCTGCTATATATTTGATGAAGTGATGATATCAACCAGCTGTGATCCTTCTCTTGAACCCTGTTTGCAGTCTTGCTGTCCAAACCATCTCCTACGTCAATCTGCTCGGTGTTATCAACAATAAAATTGATTCTTCTCGTTGTTATCTGAGAATAGAAACATCCAGTAACAAGCTAAGCTATGACCTTTTACAGAGGATAAGTTGAATTTCAGCACGGTGCGACAAAAACAGACGTTCTGCTAAAATGGCATGTCAAAAACAGGAAACAGCAAAAAGCCAGTTGACAATAGTCTAGCATTTCGTTTCTTGTCAATAAGAGAGTGCAAATGTATAATTCATAGTAAAAACAGTTTCAGTATTTAGGTATGCAAAACTTACTTGAAAAGTTCCTCTCAGAACCTTTAGTGGTCGGATCATTGATGATGGGAGCTCAAGAACTATTCTTTCGTCATGTTCGCTATGAACATAGCCTGGGGCAACAGCTGATGCTATTGGCAACACTGGATCGTTGGTCACTGGAGGATCACTAGGCTCTGTTGTCATTTGCAATGGTTGTTCAGCAAATCCAGATGATCTTGTCTGAAATTCACCATGTTGTTCGATGTCATTTGGGCTACCATCCAGATGGACAACATCTCCTTGTTCATCCCCTTCATTTCCTACCTCAATTGAGATAGCTTCTGCAGCTAAGATAGAAGCTTTGGATGGACTGATGACTCTGTCTTTCTCATGCTTCTGCACTAAATTATCTTCATAATCTGCAGCAGCACCAAAGTGATCTGAACCTTGGTAGTTCCTCCGCAAAACCCTCCTCATCCTTGAAGAACTTTCCATAAAATCCAGCTTCCAGAAAACCTGCATTTCCATGGTTTTAAAGTAAGTTAATCTGCAAATATTTACAACAGAGAAATCAAAGATAACCAGTAACATACGCGTTGAGAATTGTATAAATGATCACAAGAAGGCCCAAAAAGACATTTCATCTCGATCAAGCAATGAATCAGCTTGCACCACTCACGAATTCCAGTGTATAACCTGTGCCGAGCTATTAAATCAGCTTGTGACCTCCTCTCAACCTAAACCCAAGAAAAGGAACTTAAGAACAACTGCAATCTGTGATTACAAAAGTATAAATGGATGATTTAACTAACAGAAATTATACCTCAGATCGTTGCATGTTTCTAGCCAAAGCTAAACTTCCTACTAGGACAGCAACATATTTATAGGATAGAGCATTGAAGTCCTTTCCATACACGGATTTTGAATCAACTGACTGCAAGCATTCCAACCAGGCTGTTCCCATGGCTTCAGAAACATTCCATCTCTTAACACGTTCTGTATCACTTTTTTGCCGTCTCTGCGCCGATGTAGCCATTGCCACAGCACTTAGACCTCGTCCTGAACCAATCTTTGCATTGCGTTCAAGGTCTCTTGCAGCAGCCAGGGCAGCTGCTTTTGCAGCAACCTTGTCCTTGGCAGCAGCTGGAGATTTATTAGGTGCCTCCAAAGGTTTCTGAAAGCTTGAAAAATTATGAAGTTTAGTTGTTTTCCGCTCTAACAATGAAGAGTCGCGCCTCAACTGTGAAGAAGTTGGAGGAGGAGTGGTTTCTCCTCCAGCGGCACCAGCAGCAATCATCGCCAATGCCATAGCAGCAGGAGGTGATGCAAAAGAAGCAGCCCAGCTAGGAGTTATCATCGCAAGAGCAGCCTAAAGGGTGACAATTAAATGGTCAGACAGGAATCAAATGGGAATCTAAAACAATCAGTAAAAAATCTAGAAGGTTTCAATTTAAACAGCATGTTCAAAGAAAAAGCTAATTGTATTCTTGCATATATACAAAAATGAGAGGGAGATATGACTAGACAGTTGCAGCTAGTGATAAATATAAAACAGATAAAATATGGAATAGTCTTAGATGAAACCTAAACTATACGACTATGGTGCAACAGTTGACAACTTTTCATAGGTGGTCTCTGCATATTGGAATCGTACGTGTGGGCAGCAACATTCAACTTATACATATATATGGTCTAACAGCGTACGGTTATGTCATTTACATGTTTGATCTATTTGGTTTATTTAACATTCTTAAATTTTTTACCTTAGTGCAAAAAAAAAATAATAATAATAATAATAAGAAGAAGAAGAAGAAGAACAACAACAACAACAACAACAACACAATTTAGCCAAGCTAACCTCATTCTGACCCTTTTTTGCAGTTTGGGTATTGATTATTGGGCAAACATGATGGACTAATTTATAACAAAACTATCTAGAGGAAATTGAGGTAAATAACACTAAGTTTTCTTTGTGTACTTCTGTTCAGTCTTAGTAAATTTTATGTTTTCAATTACTTTTATTAAAAAAAAAATGCAGTTTTCTTAAATGATGGTTTAGCTCGATATTGAAATTATGTCTAGGTAGTGAGTGAATAGCCCAAATGGTCACTAAACTTTGCACCAGGTCCGCAAAAGGTCACTAAACTTTCAAAATTCTCTAACTCATCACTGAACTTTGCAAAAAGTCCACCAAAGGTCACTGAACTTTCAAAATCTCCTCACTCATCACTGAACTTTGCATTTTGTAATCTCATTAGTCACTCAGCTAACGGTCCATCCAAAAACTAACCAAATACTCACGTGGCTGGCAGATGTGGATGCCAAGTCAAACAAAAGAAGTACATGTGAATTTTTATTTAAATTAAAACATGTTTTATTAAAAAAATAATAATAATAAAAATAAAAATAAATAAAACATGTTTACGGTGGTGACTATTGCTACAACAGTTTATGGAATTTTCAATTTTTTTATTTTTATAAAACATGTTTTAATTCAAATAAAAATTCACCTGTACTTCTTTTGTTTGACCTGGCATCCACATCAGCCAGCCACGTGAGTATTCGGTTAGTTTTTGGATGGACCGTTAGCTGAGTGACTAATGAGATTACAAAATGCAAAGTTCAGTAATGAGTGAGGCGATTTTGAAAGTTCAGTGACCTTTGGTAGACTTTTCGCAAAGTTCAGTGATGAGTTAGAGAATTTTGAAAGTTCAGTGACCTTTTGCGGACCTGGTGCAAAGTTTAGTGACCATTTGGGCTATTCACTCCTAGGTAGTTATAAAATGAAAAGAAGATTAAAACAATGAGTATGTTGGAGTTTCTCAATAATGGTACTGATAAAGGACTCTTGGCATATTAATTTTGTGGGCAGCGAGAGGCATCTTCATTTGCTATTTAAATGGTAAATAGCTAAGGATTCAAGTAAACCTCCTTAAAAAGTACTTAATATGTACAACTTTATATGTTTAAAATTGCTTGCTTGTGGGTGAAAAGCTATTATGAGCACATTGAGCAGAGTACTCAAGCAAGATTCGTTTTAAAATTGATCCAAAATGTTATAAACCATATTATTAATGCATATATCCAGATATACAAGGTGACGAGGTCCAAATAACTAGGTGGGAACACGAATAGCTGGTAAGCAGATGGTGTTATATGCTGTGTAACATACTACTATCTACCCTGACACCTTCTTGTTGAGATTCTATATCTTGAGACAAACTTCTCTGAAAAAATAGACAAAATCATTATAATTTAAATAAGACTTTTAGCACAGTGACCTCAATAGGCAAAGCATCTGCAGCCAAGGCACGGTCATCAGCAACAAGAGGATTTATACCATCTGCAGTAGCAAGTTCATGAATTCCTGCCAACAGGGGTCGCCACCTTCTTAAAACAGCAACAAATGGAGGTAAAATGACCTCTAGATACTGTTTGCGCAGAGGCGTCCGGTCCTTGCCAATAGCATGCCACACCTGCAACAATAATGAAACACTTGGATAACAAAACAAGGGAAAAAATCAACTTCCGCTGATCCCAGAAAAATATGAAAAACACAATGTTACAGGGGCAATAGGAATAAAATCAGGAAATAAATGTCCAAGAATTACAGAAAACAAATGTTAAAACCAACAAGACCAGGCCAACAATGGTATAAAACTGACCTCAGAATATAGAACGCATGATGCAACCAAAACTCGCTGTCTTTTTGACTCAGAAATCGACGTTATCAGGATAGGAGATAACACACTGTACACATCATTAATTATTAATCAGTGTCATTCAAATATGTAGTGAAAAGCATGAAGAGGCATTTCCTGGGCGAGTATAACATAATATGTTTTGAGTCATGAGACATGAACCATGATCCTTGCAGTCAAGATGAATCACAACAGTTTCAGTGACAAATAATGAAATGGCAGCCAAATACACTGTGGGACAAGGTCTCGAACAGAATTATCGGCATGGGTAATACCTCCACAGCAATGAAGCTCGTGGTTTTCTCATTGACATTTGGGTGTTTGCATCAAAAGATGCAATACTGCTGGTTTGTCGACCTAAATTCTCCAGTGATCTATCTTCCATACTGAGCATGAGCTTACGGTCATCACCTTCATCATCTTCCCTCAATGAAACAAGCACCATCCGGAGCATACATAGGAATGGTTGGTCACTGTCTAATAACTGGTGAAGTGGTGACATGCCTCCCATTCCAGTACCAGATCCTCCCCCAATACCAAGACCACCACCAAGTCCAGATTCATCTAATAGTAATGCTTGAAGCATTGCAACTGACTTTTTTATTAATGGAAGCTCAATCCAGTTTTCACTAGTGTCTTTCTCCAGTGCAGATTTCCAAGATTTCCAGCCACTACCACCACCACCAAACTCTGATGCCTTTGAAGGAAGGCCAACACCATACCACAGTCGACTCCTGTATTTCCATCCTTCTTCTAAATCTACAACACAGCTTCCATACGATACAAAAGCACATTTAACTGCTTCGTAAGGTTCTGCTGCAGCAGCAGCAGTAAGCCGATCCATTACTGCTGGAGAAATTTTCCCATCAGCATCAGCCATTGAAGCAAGAACCTAGTTCACAGCGAGATAGAGTTTATATTTTACAAGGAAGCATGATGATTTGAAATAATATAAGAAGATGTGAACTTTAATCCAATACATATTTGTGCTTTTCCATGAGCAATGGTATAAAACATGTCAAACACACAGCATAGGAATCATAGCCATCAAACTGACAGGTATACATGACATTTGCACAGAGAAGAAGGCTAAGCTTATTCATACACGCAGTATGAATGATGAAGTATGCTTACCATACTCTGAAAACCATTTAATGAAGGAGCATTGTCAACCCGAAACGACAGAAGAAAATAAAAAAATAATATGAAAAGAAAAAAAAGCAAATACATTGAGATAAAACCTTGACCTGAAAAAGAATGACAAAAAAAACATACAAAAAGCAAGTGCATCAATTAAACTTGTGCAGGCCAGCTCTGGGTAAAATAATCAATCTAGCTAATATATATGTCGAAAGAGAGTGTATCAATTAACTGTGTATAGGCTAGATTATGTGTCAAATGATCAATCGAGTTGCATACATACGTCAAGAGAGAGTCCTTTAGAGTTACTAGATGTTGAGTTACGAGCAGTCACTGATTCAAGAGTTTCTCCACCCACCGTGGTTGAAGAGTGGTTGCCCACTGGCAAAATATTTGAAAGAGGGGAAGAAGATATAGCTGGAAAACGTGAAGCACTATAAAGTTTGCTTTGTAATCGTAAATGGTCTTCAACAAGCATCAAAATCACAATTGCGTTCTCAACCAAAGCTACAGAAAGCTGAGCAGCATTCTCTGCTTGCACCTTTGCATCCTTAGGTGACAATCCCTCAGCTGCCACACCAGCTGCTGTTGCAGCAATAACTTGAGTCTGCAGTAATAAAACAGGTAGCATGTCGACATTATTATAATAAGGGAAGATACAAAATGCAACCTAAATTACATACAAGATTATTCAAATGCAACTTAAAACACCGAAAATATAGAGCAAAAGAACCAAAAATGAGCAAAGACAGAGGAAGCCATTCTCTTAAAGGTGTGCCAAAACTGTAAGGGTTGACAAATTACAGAAAACAACATTTCTAAGAAAAAGTCATCAATAAGCTTATCAAGTTAATATGAGTTAATTTATTGTTTAGAAAGAGAAGACAAATGTCTATATGCTTCTTGAAATACTGAACCTCCCTGGTGAAAAAACATTCCATCATCTGAGCTTCATTCTTAAAGTCATTAATTTTAATCAATAACTTGGAAAGAGTGAAGATGAAAGACCTATGAAGTTTATGGGCAAATAATAATAATAATAATAAATAAAATAAAATAAAATCAGAACTTGCAATTTTGAAGACAAAAAACAACTTGGGATTATGAAGACAAAAACAAGAAGTCACCTGATCCCGTAGTTCTCTTGCAGAGAAGTCCAGCAAGTCACCCAAAAGCCTTCTTTTGAAGATGGGCAATGATTCTTCACGTCTAGAAACAAAATAAAGATGGTAAGGCCAAGTGTATGCATGGCTTTAGTAGTAAACAAGAACAAAAATTAAAAAGTAGCACGGGTCGTTTGGTAACTAACATAATTGGCGAAACATCCAAGGTGAATAAGCTATACAGGAATAATGTCATTACACATTAAAGTTTAGAGAAAGGCTCGAAATGATGCATTCACTTTCAAATGAAAGAGAAGGAAGGGAGTGTGCCCTCGGAAACTTCAGGATAATTCAAATACTTGAAATAACATTAATTTGTTCATCATACATGTTTATTGATATTGTGAAAGTTTTCTCTTCTAGTATACCCAGCAATAATTACATTATAGTATCCAAACCTCCCTCGATGTAAAGCCCCAAAAATTTTATAGAATAAAATTTATTTGTTCAATATACTATATTTTTATATTTTGAAAGTTCCGGGCTAAAATGAAATAGAATTATTTTTAATTTTATTTGGTGCAAGTAATTAGATTTGATAGAGCGAGATTTAGTATATCAATATTGGACTCGTTTTATAGTTTGTATTATATAACGCATTATGAACTCAAGAAAAGTTAATTTAGATAAGTTAGGTCCAAGATATGGAAGTTTAAAAAAATGTTATCTTTAATTGGTAATTAATTAAACTTGGTTTACAATTTAAATTTTATGGTATCCTCTTGTGAGATGATAAATGTTGATTTTGATAACGGTAATCTTTTTGTGATTTGGATTAAATTAAATTGTAATCTTAAATTGATTTTGATAAAGTTTAATAGTAATCATAATTATATTATTTGAAACCAATTCTTATTCAAATTCCTTGTATTACACAATTTTTCAATTCTAATTGCATACAAACTTAATTGAGAACTTTCACTATAAATACTGTAAGAATTTCCATTATTTCACCATAGAAAATAAAGAGAGAGTGGTAGAGAGATAGAGAAGGAAAGGAAAAGTATAGAAAAATAATAGAAGAATTTTCATGTGTAAGATTTTATCTTTATTTTACAACCTTTCAACGAGGTAAGACACTTTTGTGCAAATGTTTTTTTCGTATACTATTATATTCAATTAAATATGCATGAATTGCCAATGGATCTTCGAGTTCGACCTAATAAAATGTGAGCTCTATTTGATTCTTTATAACAAAATGTGAAATCCTACGGGAATTCAAAGTATTACCGATGGATGTCTTGCTTGCTCATCGATATACCCCATAAGAAATGTGGTATGAAATGTTTATTTTATTATTATATAATTATCTATAGAAACTACATGTATCTTACTAGTATTTTTAAATACTCTTACAATAATTTTTCAGGTTAACTTGGGTAGATTGGAACTGTGATGGGATGCTGATGTCGATTGCCAAGAGGATTCTTAAACAAAAAAATTAAGTCTTTTGTCTTTCCATTGATTAATCAATTTTCATTTACGTTCACAAACATGTCTATTTAATAATAAGTTGATTATGTTTTTTTTTTTATTTTGATAAATAATCAAGTGTTTTATTAATTAAAAGGTAATACACAGGAAGTGTATTATACACTTAAACAAGAAATAAATGTCATGAAGTTAGGCAGCCCATCTATGTGACTAGAAGCTACAGCACTAAACCAATTATACAATGTCAAATAAAATAATTCTCTAAACTGTTCTAAAGTCTTCATCTGATCATCAAAACAGCGCCCATTTTTTTCTCTCCACACACACCAAACAATGCAGCCTGGAATAAGATCCCAAACGAGTTTACTGTCCTTGTCACGAAACTTTCTCCTTTAAGCCTTCAACAAATCTTCCATATGCCGTGGCATCACCCAATCCATATGTTGAGAAGCCAAAATATCATTCCACAGCAAACGGGCACCATCACAATGCAAGAACAAATGATCAACCGTTTCCCCATCCTTTCTGCACATATGACACCAATTTGTAATATAAAACCCCCTCAATCGAAGATTGTCCGCCGTTAAAACTTGTTTTCTCACTACCGTCCATAGTAAAAACGCCACCATTGGAGGCAGTTTACACTTCCATACCATCTTCCAAGGGAATAAATTCTCCGTAGATCCCAATAAGGATTTGAAATAAGTGCTAACTGAGAAAATGCCATCCCTTGTCGCCATATACCTGATGCGGTCACACTCTCCAACCCTGATATGCACGTCATACAAAGAGGTCAATAGCACTGTGTAATCATCCACTTCCCAATCTTGTAGTCCCCTCCCAAAAACAATGTTCCAACTGATGCTCCCGTTATGTGTATCTAATACATCATTCACCATAGCAGATGGCATCACGGCAATACGATACAAAGAAGGAAATCGCTCCCTTAACGGTTGATCAGTACACCAACAGTCATCCCAAAAGCTGATAGTGTTGCCATTCCCCACACCGAAGGTCACTCTATTCCGGAAGTCACTCCACCCTCGTCGAATAAACCGCCATAAACTCACCCTGTAGGTACCACGGCTCTCAACTGAACACCATCCACCCTCCATCATGCCATATTTCTCTTCTATAATTTCTCTCCAGAAACTCTCCCTCTCTAACCCAAACCGTCATAACCACTTACCCAACAAAGCCTTATTAAACAATACAAGGCTCCTCAATCCGATTCCCCCAACCTTTAAGGGAGAACAAACTACACCCCAATTTACTAAATGAAATTTCCTCTCCTCTCCTAACCTTCCCCAAAGAAACTCCCTTTGGATCCTCTCTAGTCTCTTAGCCACTGTAACAGGAATGGGAAATAAAGACAAAAAATAAGTGGGGAGATTCGAGATAGTAGACTTGATAAGAGTAAGACGACCTCCCTTTGAAAGGTACATACGCTTCCAATCCGCTAATCTCCTCTCCACCGTTTCCACTATACTGTCCCAAATGTTTTTACTTTTGAACCTTGCTCCTAATGGGAGCCCAAAATATGTTATAGGCAACTGTGCAACCCTACAGCCCAATGTAGCAGCCAACCTTTCCACATTATTGACCTCTCCAACAGTGATGACCTCAGACTTCCCCAAATTTATCTTCATTCCAGATACGGCTTCGAAGCATAGAAGCAAACGACGCAAATTCCTAAAGTGCTCAACGTCAGCGTCACAAAAGATCAGAGTATCATCTGCAAATAGCAAATGAGATATCTGCAGTTGACCAATCCTAAAGCCCTTTAACAAACTTTCCCCCCAGCCTTTTTAACCATTTTACTGAATGCCTCCATTACAATAACAAACAATAATGGAGACAAATGATCCCCTTGTCACAATCCCCTACTACTTCGGAAATGGCCTTCAGGAGTGCCGTTTACCAGAACAAAAAAAGAGACAGTAGAAATACAAAATTGAATCCACTGGCACCACTTGGCTCCAAAACCACATCGCCTGAGCATATACAATAGGAAACCCCAGTTCACATGATCATAGGCCTTTTGAATATCAAGTTTACATAGCATCCCTGGAGCCCCTTGACGTAGTCTTGAATCAATACATTCATTTGCTATGAGAACGGAGTCTAAGATCTGTCGCCCTTTGACAAAAGCATTCTGATATTTAGACACCATTTTTCCCAGCACCTCCTTTAATCTATTAGCCAAAACGTTTGCAATAATCTTATACACCCCACTTACTAGACTGATAGATCGAAAGTCCTTAATATCTGTCAATCCTTTTTTTTTGGGATCAGCACAATAAATGTGGTATTAGAGCTTTTCAAGAATCTGCCACACTGGAAAAAGTAAGCAAAAACATCCACAATGTCCGAACGTATCACCTCCTAACAAGCCTTGTAGAATGCGAAGGAGAATCCGTCCGGTCCTGGGGCCTTGTCATCATTCATACTGAACACCACCTCCCTAATCTCGTCCTCTCCAAATGGTCTTTCTAACCAACCGACATCCTCCTCAGAAATAGTGGAAAACTCTAGCCCCTCAAGCTCTGGCCTCCAATCAAACTGCTCCTTATAAAGGTTTTGGTAGAAACTCACCATTTGGGTACCAATATCCTGTGAGTCCTCAAAAGTTCCCCCATCCACCTCCAGCATAGAGATACAATTATTGCGCCTGTTGGAATTGGCCACCCTATGGAAAAACTATGTACACTTATCTCCCTCTCTTAACCACTTGACCCTAAATTTCTAGCGCCAAGAAATCTCCTCCATCTCCGCCAACCTCTCCAGGTCACCCCTTAATTCTTGACGTCGCTCCCTCTCGTCCCCTCCCAATCCTCGACTTTCCTCCTTCCTATCCAATTTCTCTATTTCTAAGGTGCATTGATTTTTGCGCCAGTTAACATCCCCCGCCTCCTCCTCATTCCATCTTTTGAGATCTCCTTTTAAAGCCTTTAATTTCTGGTCCAACACATAACTGAGGGACCCCCTGAACTTCTAAGAGGCCCACCAAGTCCGTACTCGCTCCCCAAAATCATCCACTTTAAGCCATATTTTTTCAAACCTAAAAGGCCTTCTCCCGCTATATCCCACATCCCCAGATAATGAAATTGGGAAATGATCTGAGCATACCCTCCCTAGTCTCCTCTGAGCGACATCCGGGTACTTACCCTCCCACTCCACACTAATCAAGAACCGATCTATTCTAGAATGAACAGCTAGCTCTCGATTAGATGACCAAGTAAAATATCCCCCCATCAAAGGCATATCCACCAACATATTCTCCTTGATAAAATCTGAAAAGTCCTCCATAGCCCCTGTTAGTCTCCCGCAGCTAGACCTTCAAGTAGGAAAGCGGACCACATTAAAGTCACCCCCTATGCATGTTGGGAGGTTCCACCAAGCCATCATACCTGCCAATTCATCCCACAATCCGCCTCTACTTTCATCAACATTAGGCCCATAAACTCCTATGAACATCCAACGAAATCTATCCCCAATATTTGTAAATGAAAGGGATAGGGAAAAAAGCCCTTCACTAACCTCCTCCAACTGAAAGACTCTAGCATCCCACATAATAAGCACCACTCCTGAAACCCCCACTGACCCCACAAATTGATACCCAATATGTTGTCCCCCCCATAAGCTACTGATAACAGCCCTCGAAACAGTCTCCAACTTTGTCTCCTCTAAGCAAACAATGTCAGCCTTCCAACCCCTTAAGAGATTTCGAACACCTAACCTTTTACCAGCTTCATTGAGCCCCCTCACATTCCAGCAAACAATTTTTGGAATCATCTTGACACACTTTCATCCCTCCCCATCAATCCTCTTCTTGACTCACCACTCCTTATGTCATAATTAATCGAGCATTCAAGCCTTTTAAGTTCACGGTCACCCTTTCTTCTGGTCTTACCTCCTGGTGTATCCATCCCTTGTCCCTTACTCGCCTCCAACTCCTCAAATAGTTGCAAGAGCTTATGTTCATACCGATCACAGGACACTCCCACCGTTTTGCTGAAGTCCAAAATATTTTGAAGAGCCCAGCTCGATGGTGGTGGTCTAAAGTCAAGCTCACTCATTTCCACTATCTCCCCAGAGGAAAGCTGATCATATTGTAAGTCTTCTTCTTACACCCGACCTACATCCCTATTTATATCCTCCTTTTTTGGCGCCCTCCACCCACACAACTAGCACTTTATCATTCCCTGATTCTCCCTCATTTATAGACTTAGAGTATCTCCTACAGTAAGTATTCGTGACCATTTTTGCCAAACCTGTTGCACCTTGTTGTTTCTCAATTACCACATCCGGTCTCTCTAACTCCAAATTCATCAAACGGGGTTCCCCTTCCTTGTCCCTTACTTCCACCTCTGCCCCTCTACTTTGTACTTGGGCCTCGCCACTTGGCTCAACCATCACCTCTGTAGTGTTAGCCCTCTTCGATTTCAACTCCTTGGACACCTCATTAGCTACGCTTGCTGTATAGTCATCTGGGCCCACTCCACACGCAGGACAATACTTCTGCTTATAACCCATTATCTTCCCGCTACCCAATAACCTCATTAGCTCATCCAATTCCCCTTTCAGTGCCTTTATATGTGCCCTTATGTCAGCATATTTGCAGAAATATCATACGTTCCTTAAGTAGTCTTATTGCTGTCCTTATGCGCCGCTAAATGGCCTTCCTTGTTTGGTCCCCAGATTCGTGGACCACTCCTCTCATTTACCGGTTTATCCTTCTGCGTTCATACCCATTGATCAGCATTCTGAGAGGCCCGTGCCGTAATTGCAGCATAGGTCAACCCTTGCAGGCTCTGATCTTCCACTACTCGATGCTTGGCCTTATCTTCGACAACAAATGATTCTATAACTGCTTGAAACACGCGAGAGATCGCTGCCCATCCCTCTCCATTACGCCCTTCAGGTACCATCACTACACCCTGTCGCCGTCGCTCCCCATATTGCGCTATTATGAGATATCTTCCACGATTGTTAGTACATTGTTGTGCCAAAAACGCTCGGGGGGTCTCATTAAATTTCCCTACAAAATCCTCCGACACACTAGCCATCCTTAACTTATCCATCATATTAACCATCCACATAGCTCCAAATCTTCCCATGAGAATAGCATTGGAGATCTTAGCTCCCCATTCTGATATCTTAACCATGCCTGAATCAGTGACAGACACAACACATTGTTTTGCCTCAATTCTGAAACTGGAGCTGAAGACCAACATGCCATTAGGAACTCTCCGTCTCCCTAGATTTCGTGCAACCGAAGCATCATACGAAGAAACGGGATGGTTATTTGTCTCCGACGAATTCTGCACGATCGGAGCTCTCACCGGCGGCGGTGCGTGGGCGCCACGTGCCGGCAAGCGCGTCCCCGTGGTCGGAATGCCTTGACCAAGTCCCCTGTCAGGCGCGTCGGTCGGAATTCTGGCCGGATCTTGAGCCATCTGGGCTCAAATCCCCGACCGATTTCTGCCTATGACCACTCGCCAACCGCCCAAGTCGCCGTCGCCGTCGCCTTCTTCAGAGGTGGCTGGGTCGTCGGCCAAAACAACAGATCGGGCGACGGTGCTGGGGTTTACACCCAGGGCCGTCGCCTGCAATTGTGGCTCATTTTGTGGCGTGAGGCCGATTTTGTTGGGTCCACTGGGCGCCTGCGATGTTGCCGGTATGGTGAATTTGGATATTAGGGAGGGATGCTCCATCCCACAGGAGCGGATTCTTCAACTAAGTTGATTATGTTTATTCTTAAATATACAATTTTCATGTTTTAATTTAAATCTATGAATGTTCCAGTTGTTTTTTCATAAAAAAAATAATTTATTTTATCGTTCGTCCTTTAAAAAAATAAAAAAAAATAAAAAAAAAAGTAAATCTTTTGTAACACCCCAGGGTTTACAAAAATTTAGGGTGTTACACTCAAACAATTAATTTTTCCAGAATTCAATTGGGCTAAGTAATTCTTATCTTTATGATAAGACTAACAAAATTATTTTATCGTTCCGCCTTTAATTTAATACCCCCACGAAAAAAAAAAAAGTTAAATCTTTTGTAACGCTCCGAGTTTATGAAAATTTGGGGTGTTACATTCAAACAATTAATTTTTCCAGAATTCAATTGAGCTAAGTAATTCTTATCTTTATGATAAGACTAACGAAATTATAAAAACCTGCAACGAAAGGTTTGGTAAAAGGAAAAATATCAGATTACAGTAGACTAACTTATGTTGTCTTATATTAACAATTCAACTGACAACTGCCATCAGGTATCTGAATAAATATACACCACTTACACATGAACAGAGGGAGATTATCTTGTAGTTCAAGGAGGTATGGTGAACATAGATTAGTTTGCAAAGGGGCGAAGGGGCTAAGTGCATTTTATCATGCTTTAAGAATAAGAGATTAAGCTATGGTACTACTCTTTGGTTAACAATGATTCAGCACACTTATTGTGCCTGTTTTCGAAATTTTTTATACCAAGGGCTGCTTTAATAATTCTGGAGTTTTTATAGCATTGGTCATTGGCCCTTGAAATTAGGTTAGTTGGTGTTACTTGGGTTTAGTTTGGAATAGAAGTAAAATGGATTAAGTGATATAAGTCTTATAATTATTAAGTGCTTTCTTTTTGGAGCTGTATCACTTCATTGGCTTGAGAATCTTTCGGGTCTATACATTATACTTGTGTAATCTGTTTGTTGAAAGATAAACAATAAAACTGAAGAGAAGTTCCACCAAGGATTTGAACTTTAAAACTTTCTTGCATCATAAATCTTTGTGAAAAGAGTAATCGAGATCACGTGTCAACAAGATCTAACAAATTCAACATGAACTATCTACATCCAACAGCAAAGTTAAGAGTGAAAATGCTAGTAAATGCGGCGATACCTAATCCTTTGATCTCCAATGCTAGAACCGCCAACCATAGAAAGCCATTCTGCACAATGAATTGTAGCTTCAATATCCTGTCAAAGTAATGATAAAATATATAATGAAACTGATGAATTGAAAACCAAATGAGAAAATCAAATGCAGTGTCAAACAAGAGCAAAACTCAATAATTATGGATAAGCCTCACAAAAGAGGGTTTCTGCAAAAGAAGGTTAGATATAGGGCAATCCTAGTACAAATAGTATAGCAATTATTCTTGTAGTAACATTTATTTTTTAGTTTAGATTAGAATTTTTTAACTCTTTTAAGTTTTCAATTATTTTATTTTTCTATGTTGTTAATTACTTATTTTCCTTATGGTATTAGCATTAGGAGATTTTCCTGCCTATATAAGCAAATAAAGACGTTGAACACTTTTTAATCATCAATTCAATATAATCTAATTATTCTCTAACAAGAATGTTCTAATTTAAAAAAATTTTGTTCCAATTTTGCTTTCGTACCAAAATTGGTATTAGAGTAAGGAATTTTACTTGACTTTTGACATCGACAATACTAGTAAAGTCTGAGCTGCCAACTGCAAATGGAGGTTCAAAAACATCAAGCATCGACGTACCAGGCACGAAAAAACTCTCCAAGATGTTCAGGAGACCTTAGCTTTGCTCAGTACTGAACTTAGGCCTGAGCCCAAAAGAAAATAGTCAGCTCCAACCGATGACCACCCTAACTAAGGCGATTTAGATTTTGATGATCTACTGTCGGATAGTGAGCAACAATGGTTTGAGTGACTTGAGTTTACTATACAAGACTCGAAGCTCGAGCTGATAATAAACAAATTGAAGCTCAGAAGTGTCCAGTAGAAGGAAAGGAAATTGAACTTTCCAACTAGGATAGAGTCGAATGTGAGACTTTTCAATTAGAAAATAAAAATCGACATTCTCTGTGATCCCAATGCCAATGAATTGCATATACATGAGGAAAATAGTAATAATACAAATCAGAATCCTCGTGTCAGTTCTTTTAAATTGACGAAGGCATTATTGGACATTATAGCAGAAGATGGGAAGCATGAAGAATTGAAAATGGAAGTAGTAGTCTCTATCGAGAGTGGACACAAGGATGAGAAACTGAACCATGCATCATTTCAGAAGGAATATAACATATAGTGTTCATGGAAAATACAACAACTATGATGCTCTGACACGATATGCGTCGAATACGCCGAGCCGTGATTTTTCAAAAAGTACCAACACATTGATTAAATTCTTTAAAAATCTTCATTTATATAGTATAGATTTAGTTTTATAATTGTTAATAATTTTTTTTGTTGAAATCTTTTAAATATGAGTACCTATTTGTTATTTACTAATAATTTTGAGTTAAAACTATATAATATTTTTAATAAAGAATAAAAAATATTTATGGCAAAGTGTCCAAAAAATGTCGGTATCGACACATGTCCAACATGGGCACGCTACCCTAATTGAAGTGTCCGTGCTTTATAGTAAAATAAGCTGGGTAATAGCAAAGTTGAGTTCAAACAATTCAACTAAGGAATATAACATCTATCGAGCACTTCAAGATATTGACAAATGTGTTCTTACATGGAGATTTGACGGAGAAAATATATGAGCCCTCCTCCTGATATGTTCTCTCATTCTTCTACTGAAGTGTGTTGGTTGAAGCGGTCTTTATACTGATTGACTCAAGCCCCGCGTGAATGGTTTGAGAAGTATGGAAGTCAATGTAAAGCTCAGTTCAGATGAAGGAAAACTTTTACCTAACCTATTACTATATCAACAGTTTGTAGGAAGTTTAAACTATTTAACATTACTCGTCCTGATTTTTTTTGCTGTATAGTAAGTCAGTCAAATTATGCAAGCTCCTCGTCATCGCTTTCAGCCATTGTGCGATGAATTCTTCGTTAACTCAAAGGTACATCTGGTCGAGGATTGTTCTTTCCTACTGGGAGTTCATTACAATTAATAGGTAATAGTGGCGTTGATTGGGCTGGTTGCTTAAAATCTCCTCGCTCAGTTTCAAGTTGGTGCATATTTCTTGGTGATGCCCTCATTTCTTAGAAAAGTAAGAAACATGATTGAGTCTCTAAGTCCTCTACTGAATTAGAATATCGTGCGATGTATTCAACGTGTTCAAAGATCATATGGCTTTGGGGGATGTTAGGTGAACTTGGTATCCCACAAATTGCTCCTACTCAACTTCAAGCTGATAACACCAGTGCTAATCAGATTGCTACAAATCCAGTATTTCATGAGCGAACAAAGTATATTGAAGTAGATTGTCATTCTATTTGTGAAGCTCTTGATCAACATGTAACTACACTTCCTTACATTTCCACCAAGCATCAGATTTTTATCAAAGCCTTATCTCGCCATCGCCATCAATTCATGATTGACAAATTGATGCTTCTTGATCGACCAGCATCAATTAGAGGGGGATGTCAAATCAGATACAATGATTATTGGCCAAATCTTTGTATTCCTAATTAGTTTACACAACATTAGTTGTTTACCATATTTAGGTAGACAAATTGATTTTAAACCTATAAATCATCCGTGTACTTAGTTATTCTCCTCATATTGTAATGAAAATCCCTCCATGAAGCGCAATCGAAACCATTTTGACATCAGTGGACACATTGGTTGAGATAAAACAATTAGCAGGGTAGAAGAACGTTTCTTTTGGCCTCAATTTAAGCAAACATTGGTCTATTTGTTCAACATTTCCCTATATGTCAACGAGCTAAAGGCCACACAGTACTATGGCCTTTACACTCCTTTGCCTATCCCAGAAAATATTTTGCAAGATTTGAATATAGATTTTGGTCTTAGACTCCTCGGATTCAGTGTGGATATGATTCGTTTTTGTAGTAGTTGATCAGTTCTCCAAGATAGTTCACTTTATTTCCAACAAAAAGACGTCTGAGACCTCTCATGTTGCAAAATTATTTTTAGGGAGGTTCATCATCACGCGTTCCTAGTTCTATAACTCCAAATAGGGATATCTAATTTATAAGTCAATTTTGGAGGACGTTTCAGAAGAAATTTGACAATATATTAAAATATAGCAACGCCAGTCATCTAAAAATTGATGGAAAAACTGAAGTGGCTAATCACACACTTGGGTAACATTATTCAATTTTTGGTGAGGATAGGCATAAGCAATAAGATGTAGCTTTACCACATATTTAATTTGCTTTTAATAGTATGCAAAATCGTTCAACCAAATGAACAACGTTTGAGATAGTTTACATGAATGCCCTATACATATTGTGGATTTGATTAGTTTACCTCCAACTCTTGACATTAGTTCTACCGCCAAATAGTTTGCCGAAACATTAAAAAAATAAAATAAAATAAATAAAAAAATCACCAGAGTTAAGGAAGAATTTAAAGGCTCTCAATTTTAAGTACAAGGCTACATTTGACCTACATCAAGACTGAAATGGTTCAATGAAAGTGATTTAGTTATAGTACATCTATGAAAGAACACATTCTCATCGGAACATAAACCAAAGAAAGAATATTGATCCATTTAACATAATGAAAAAAATTGAAGATAATGTCTACAAGATTGATCTTCCTGCATATATGAACATTTCATTCACAATTGATACTAGAAAAATATTTTAATAATATCCACCAATGAATGTTCTCTTTCGAAAACAAACTTGAGGCCAAGTTTTCTTCGAGTGAGAGAGAATGATGTAGGATAATCCTATTTAGAAGAGAATTTTATTTTGTAATAAGATTTTATCTCTTTTCTTCTTTTTTGTTTAGAATAAGAATTCTTTCTTACTTGTTAGTAAAAAGATTTCTTTCTTTGCATTTTTTTTTTTTATTCCTTTTAGGCTTTCAATTGCTTTAGTCATTAGGATTAAGAAATTACATTGCCTATATAAACAAAAGCTTTATATACTTTTTAATACACAAATCATTACAATCAAATTATTCTTTATAATTTTCGAGTTTTTCAACTTTATTCTTGTTTCAAAAATTTCAATTCTGCTTCTGCCCCAAGGTTTATAGCTAAATAAGATTTATGACCATCCATCTTGATTCTTAGATATGCATGGCTGTAGAGAAGATACTTTAGAAAAGTAGAACTAGTAAAAGAAACACTCCATACATCCACATTAAAAAATACGGCGACATTTTTTTTTTTCTTTTTTAAATGATATACGAAAAACAGCTTGGTAGGCAACTTAATATAACTAGACAACAAATAAATTTTTCAATCAACGATCAGCTTGAAGAGAAAAATATTTTTCTTCAAAGAAAAGTTTGAAATTACGTTACTCGTTCTTCTACTTCAGAAAAGTAGAGTGAATAAGAAGAAAGACTCTGTACATCAGCATTGAAAAATACAGCACAATTTTATTTTATTTATTTATTTACTTTTTTTTTTTTTTTTTGCCAGAAAGACATACTGAAAACAATTAGGTAGGCATCTCAATAACTAGCAACAAATAAATTTTTTAATCCAAGATTAGCTCGACCAGAAAGTTTTTTCCTTCAAAGAAAAATTAGATATTATGGTTGCTAAATTAATTAGAATGTTTATCAAAAACTTTTTGTTTATTACTATCTCACTCTATCTCCAGAAATTCAATTAGCACGTTTTATTTAGAGGAAGATAAAACTGCATTTACTTTTGCATATCAAAAGGAGCATAAGCGACAAGTATTAACTAAGTACAGTGCTAAGCTCTCTAGATCAAATCTCTATTCAAATCATATTCAGTATTTCTTTCCAAACACTCTGATTGTTCAGTTGCATTACCACAATATATTCCACAAAAAGTCGCCATTTTCACCTTTTAATTTAGTTATTTGCATACATTGCAAACTTCAATAACATCTTAATTTATTCTCACTTGTTTATGTCCTAGCCGAGCCACTTCTATCTCCTAACTCTTTTCGGAAATGATGGTAGTCAATAATGCAAAAAAAAAAAAGAGTCAAAAAACTCGAACCTTCCATCCGTCCTTCTGGCGCATAGAATGCTCTAACATAATAATCAAGAAATTGTGTATAAAGTCTTCTACATCTCTCGTGCTGGATGAATTCCTATTTTTACTTCCACTTTTCTGTACAAACATGCAAGTGAAATTTAATAAATTAGGAAAAGAGACATCAATCATCATATAAACAACACGCGTTACCATTACTACATGAAAGACTTTCTTCCTACCAAGCATATGACATCCTTTCACATTCAGATTGCAATAGCAAGAAAAGAATAAATAAATAATTGAAAACTAATGTTGATAGCATTACCTCATGATTAGATATTAGAATCTCCAAAATCCACTCAGGCCATTCGTCCATTTTAGTAAGACTGCTTCTATTTTCTGGATGACTGCAAGCCAAAATCAGAAGATCCTGAAATCAAACAGAAAGTATAAGAACTAAAAAAACCATAGGACTGTGGTAAGGAAAAACAAAGCAACAAATAATTTATGTTCATTTTGTGAAAAATAATAACTTGAGTAACATAATTGTTCTAAGTTATAATAATTAATACATTCACATTATTATATCACCATAAATGTAATTTGTTCATAACATTGATGGAACCGAAATAAAATTCAAATAAACCATAAATCAATGTTGGGATGAGAAAATGTTTAGCATGACACGTCCTTCTTTTTTTCTTTTTAAAGCAAAACATCAACACAACCTTAGTGAGTTTTAGCCACTACCAGGGAATGTTGGTGGGGGTTTAGCCTGACAAATCTTTCTTTGCTCTGTTTTGTGAAATATTAATGAGCCAAAAGTCAACTAAATGAGCAATTATGACTAGCATATCAACAGCCCTGTCACACTTCCAACATCAAAAGCAGACAGAAAGATCATTAACACACAAAAATGGGGAAAACCTAGAATATGCACTGTTTAAGCGTTCTCTGTAAAATCTTGGCATGGTGGTTTATCAAGCTGTACATTTCTATATGAAACCGTTGTCATTAACATTAATCAGCATGAAATTTGTCCTGTCCCCTAGCCAAACACAAATATCTATCAAGTCTTTTTACCAGAAAAGATAGAGAATAGAATCGGGAAACAGCCTATGACTTCTTGGTTCTGCAATCAGATATTCTTATCTTTATTTAATTTGCATAATACAATTAAGTACCTGTAATGCTCGACTTTGCAACGAGCTCGATGCGTATGGGAGGGAACGAAGAAGAACCAACAATAGTTGCAGATGCTCAAAGCGAGTACCTGAATCATACAAGTATAGTCCTTCATCTGTTGAAGATGAGTTTATCTGAAAATGAGAAGAATCTCAGATATCTAGCAACCCTGTATAAATAGAATTAACAGAACATTCTTTGAAATGTAGGTTATCATTCATATCCAGGCTCTATCAGATACTCAAATTCAGCAAAATATTTTACGTTGGATGGACTCTTAATTCTTATCATGTAGAATGTCATCCACTCACTAGATCATTAATGGCACTAACGTTCTATCATTTACAGATGAAAGGTCATTTGAACAACTCGCAACAAGTAAATACGATGAAAAAAAATCATTTTTAATCAGTTATTACTATGAAAAGTCCAGAAACAACTATATATTAAATTCAGTAACAAAGAGAAAAAAATTTCTCATTCTTTCAGGTCTCAATTTTAATCAATGATCAATGGCTGCAGCTACTCTGAGCGATCAACAACTCAAAATTCAAAAAATGATCTCATATTACAATTCTTCAATTTTGCTTTTAGTGTAAAATATACAAATGTTCCTCCCAAACTTCACTTTGAACAACATTTATACTTCCTCCATGGCTCCATCCACACGACCTGTAAAACCTTCTTGGCTCTAAATTCAAGAAAAGCAGTGTTATCTTTGAGAACTCATAACCAATAGTGTAGAAAATGAGTTTGACAAGTGGGCATCACTTTCTCCCAATATTAAATTACACGTGCTAAATGGTAATTTCAGAATTTAATGATTATGTGCTTCCACTTTTAGTGAGTGACTGCTTTGTGACACAAAACCCAAAAAGAAATACCAAAAAAAATGAAATATAGCATGGGACAGAGGGAAAGACAATAATTCCAGGTAATTAATTAAAAAACTATGGAAAAAAAGAGAGGTATATGATCTTGTCATTTATTATCGAGAGCAATAGAGATTCTTTGTTGTGCATCATAACTAACAAATGTATGCATAAGCGGTACATTAACCTAATGAGAAATAGAGGGGGGGCAAAAATTCAGACCCACTTAGACCACAGCATCACGATACTGATATTCAGAAAAGAAAAAAACAATGGCAAAAACTATCACAGTGACCTAAAGCATTGTCACCTCTCATAGTAATTATTTGTAACACAACATAGCAATACTTTTCAGTTTTCCCCCACGCATAACAGAGCAAAATGTTGTTATTAATATAACCATGCATCATATTCTTAAACACAATAGCAGGTTTCGGTAACCACAACAAGACCCTCCATCAGTATCCTATCATCTAAAGGTGCACCTATTCTTTTACCTTCGAGGTCAAAAGTCAGCTAGAATATATTAAGTAGATCATATCAAGTACAACATAAGAACATTGTGAATGAAGATTTAAAGAAATAAAGCAGATTATGTGCCATTAGTATGTTTTAGAACAGCAACAAAATAGCAGTAGCATAAAAAACTAATCCCCCCACCTTCCACCCTTTCCCCACCAAACAGGAAAACTGAACACAAGTCTAATCACGGTAGAAGATTCACAATATACATGCCCAAAAATTTGGTAACCAAAGAAATGTACACATAACTGCAACAATGAAGAACTAGGCAGGAGAAAATGCAACACATGACATACCGAGGCAGCCAATAAAGCAGTGTATACTTTGCTCGTCATAAGCCTGTTTGGAGCTGCTTCGAAAGCCTTTCGTAAACCAAAAAGGAGGAGGGAGATCTTATCATCAAACATGGTAGCTCCTCCCTCAATCACGCCAAGAATGTTGTTAGTTACATCTGGGGGAACAGGCTTATCAAATTTAAGATATCCAGATATTACTAAAGCACTCAAGAGGTTAATAACACCAACGATGATACCATCACTTTTGTCAATGTTATACACATTATTCCTTGCATTTTCAGCACTTATTGAAAAACTTATGCCACCCAAATTTTTAATAAAAGGATGTTCAGGGATAGATGACATCCTTCGAGAATTAGATATCGTTGAGCCATCAAAAGACTCGGGTTCATGAGCCTTTGCCTCTGAAGTTAAATCATTTTTAACCATAGGTCCTGTATCATCACAACCAATGTCTTCTGAAGTCCTGTCCCCAATATCTTCTTCGGTTTTCTGGGATGATAAAGTTTCATCACTCTTGGATGAAAAGTTTGGAACATCTATATCTCCAGCATTTGCTTCACGCTGCAAAAGAACAAGAAGTGTTTCTATGCCACCAGATGATATAAATGCCTCGGCAAAGGTTTGAGCCCTGAACGTATTTGGTTGAACCACCAACCTATATATCAGGTGCAGCACCCTGACAACCTGGAAGAAGTTGTAGAATAAGTTCAAGGAGAGAAGTCAGACATACTTAAGATTTGGATTGACAAAAATCAAAACATTGTCATCAAGTACTTGCAGACAATGACGATACATTATTGTCACTAAAGGCTACAAAAATTGAAGTACGTAGAAGTTCAAGACTACATCAGCATTCATTGAGTTAGATTGTTGCATTATTATTTTTTTTTTTTCGGGGTACTAATTGCATACTTTCTGAAAATATAAACTAGGAGTGCAAACCTACATAACCTAGTCATATACCATATGGTTTAAGCAAGCACTCTCAGGCACTACACTTAACATGCTACTTTTCAAAGGTGCCCAACAATTTGACCACGAGCGTGTTATAAACATTGTTAACCCGGAAAAAATAATAATAATAAAAAAAATAAAAAATCATCTGCAGTAGTTTGTTAAGTTGGAAGTACCTCCATATCCAGATACAGTGGCACTACAAACTGATAAAGAAATATTTATCACAAAAACTTGCAGAAAGAATGACAACACGAAACACCATAAGCAATCAACCTTCACTCTTGAATTTCTCGGAGACGCTTATTGCTGAGTTTTGAAAGGTAGTTGATTTTTGGAGAAAAAGCTATATAGAAACAAGTTGGATTCAACTCAATAAAAATGGTCATTTAGAGTGAACATCGAGGTGGTTGACTTCATTTAAACTTGTTATAAGCAAGGGTTAACAAAAACTAAAGGACCACTGAAAATATGAGATTTAATGAGGTGTCATATTAAATTCTTTGACAACTGTGGGCATGACATAACAAAACAAATTAGCCAAATGAACATAATGGCAATTGGCTTACATTCATGTTCATTCCACAATTAATATACCAAGCACAAACTTCAAATCATCACTCATTCAACAAATGGAGTGAGCAAGCATACTATCCTGTCCATTAATGTTATAGGCAAACAAGACATTTGTATAAATTTCAGGAATATACTGAAATATATATACATTCCTGTTCATTCCACAATTAATGTACAAAGCACGAACTTCAAATCTTTGCTCATTCAACAAATGGACTGAGCAGGCATACTATCCTGTCCATTAATGTTATAGGTAAACAAGACAATTGTATAAATTTCAGGAATATAATAAGTATATATATTACCTCTAATAAGTCACAAATTTTGCTAGTCTTTCCCTTTATTTAACTAAATCTTTAAGTAATTGCTTATATCTTGGGGTTAACATATTCAAATGAGTATTGATGGCAGAGAAAATGAATATTGATCGTTCACAACAATTTTCAAACAAATAGCCTAAAGAAACTCCTCCTAACATAATCAATGTGATTCTAGCAGAACATGTTAGAAGAAGGAGAACATTAACATGACCATATGTTCATTGGACCTTTCCATAGTGCATTTATTATCAACAAACGGATGTTCTCTCTCTCTCTCCCCCCCCCCCCCCTTTCAAACAAGTCACAGGCAGAAATAATTTTTTGTGCCACAAAAGTAATTAATTGCCACTATCTAAAAGCCCATCAATTAAGTAATATCAATTTAATACAACCGAAAATTAGGGAAGATCATGGCATGTTTTTCTAAAGCAAGGAGTAAAGAAGTCTTAAAAATTCTTGCATCTCTAATGACATATCACAAAAAGAGATGCTAAGCTATATATTGTATTTTTCCTCCAATTTGCTCAAGTACATGTTCAATAATTATGTTATAAAGCATGAAAGGCTGACATGCCTCACCAGAATCTAAACCAACTTGAAATATTTACTCTAAGAAGTGCCTTAAGCCAGAAGGTTAAACCATTCAAGGAAAAATCTGACACTACAACCCAAAAACTGTGCTCTGTGACTTGTAAAATTCAGCAGCTCAGCTTATGTTCTCCTTAGATTAAGTAATTCTCAATCAATTAACAAATTATTCACTTAGTCAATGGTGATTATGATCAATTATGCAATTTTGCATCAATAAACAAAATTATTAAGGTGTCGAACATGGACCAACGAAAATTCTATTGATAGTTGAAGCTGAGAACTTGATATGAGTGTCAATAAGATTGACAAAGATCATGGAAATTGACGAAATCATGGAGATTGATGAAGATTGACAAAAATCACTAAGATTATGTAATAACATAATTATGTATATAATTCTATTTACCATGGCCCTGTTTGAGCCCCATTTTTACCTCATTAAAATGAAAAATATGACCGTTATCTATCACATCAAGCCACCATTTTTGAATTTCTATCTCTTGTGTGAAGCCCATAACGGCTCTATTTTTCATTCTTATTCTACAAATAATGTGGCTCAAACGGGCTCCATATTTAGGTTGATAACATCTACCATATATAGAATGATATCATAGTTGTATAAGTTAATACTTTTCCTATAGAATGCAAAGAATTCCTTAAGGAAAGATCATTATGTTAAACGTTTATCATTGCATCAGAGCTTACCTCAAATCCTCGATTTTTTTTGGCATAACTCAACCTCTCAGGTATGGGTTTTTTGTGATGATCAACGGTTGACAGAATTTTTATCAACGTGTGACTCTTGTAGGGGTTTCTTGTGGTGGTCGATGGTAGACAAAATTTTTGTTAACGTGTGACTCTTGTGGTTGGTGATCGATGATTGATAGAATTTTTGTCAACAACTGACTCTTCGATGCATTGAGTGCTGTGCAATTCCAGTCATCCCAAACCTATTTTGATCTCGATAGTTCCTATATCTATTTTCCCCTTCCCTCCTCTCGTTGTTAACATTTTTTTTTCCCGAAACGCTCCTAGTAGATGAATTTTTTTCTCCTCATTATGAAAGAGTTATTTTTCGGCTGCCCATTGGAATTAGGTTTTTGAGTTATTTAGTACATCAGTTTCTTGTCAACAAATTGATGCTTCTTGATCATCCAACATCAATTTGAAGGGATGTCAACGATAGAGATCATGGATATTGACGAAGATCACAAAGATTGAAAAAATCAATAAGATTGATACAATAGTTGTATAAAGTAATATTCTTCCTACATAATGCAAGGGATCCCTTATGGGAAGAACACTCGGTCAAAAGTTTGTCAATGAGAACTCAAGAGGTAACTATAACGAACACCATCGAATTGATTCATTGAAGGCACAAAACAAGTTTTAATATAAGAAAAAGGCTATTATACCTGATTTGGTTGAGGGCAGTCAACAATGAACCCAAGCAAACACCGAACATCCTCCACAGCCACGGATGGAGCAGCATCCATAACTAAAAGTTCAATAACCACTAATAGTTCATCAATCAAAGCATTGACCTCACCAACACGGTGGGCATCCTCATTAATGGAAAACGTATTCACAGAGTCACTTTCCCGAATGGACCAGTAGCATCTCCTGCAACCATCTAAAAGCATCTGAATAGCATTAGCATCTCGCATCACAGATGACTCGGTGAATACCATATCTGCAAGTGATGACAGAAGCTTTTTTTGTAGTCCATAGCTACATAAACTCCAAATTTTGAGATCAAGTAACAATGTACTAAAAAGCTGCACTTTGAGTGAATGGTTAAACTTCTGAGACTGGCATATACAGACAACTGCAGCAACAAGTTCCTCATATCCAACTCCATAGTCATTTGAAACGTTAAGCAACGACATAGTTTGCAGGAGATATTTTAAGATTGTTGATAAAACTTCAGGGCCTCTTCTGCGACACAACTCTTCACTGTTCCCAGGGTGCTGGATGGCCAAAGAGATAATTCTTAATATGGGAGCAGCAAGAGTAGTAGTGGACGATGACAAAGAGAGGTCATTTTGGAGTGGTACCAGGCTAGTCTCATGCATGTTGCTCACCACTAGTGGAAGTAAGGACATTGGACCTCCATGAGCAAGGGCCCACAGAGCTTCCGTTGCCCGTACTCTCGTAGCGACATACACTTGACCAAGAACCTCCGCAGGTCTTCGGAGCATGCCTGAGTACAAAGGAGCACAGTTGATATTAGAGAAGTGTTTCAAGCTAAGGCAATGCAAAGAGGAGAAGCAAGAACTCTGTTCTAGAGATACCCTAATAGATTTCGAGAGAAGGTGCAGTGTATTATGTTTCCACACACTAATAGATAAGTCAAGGCCCCAAATATAATCAATAATTCCAGAAGCAGTCAGCTTGACCACAAAAATAGCAACTCAACTCAACTCAACTCAAACACACATTATCTCAACATAGTTCAGTTGATATTTTATTACAGAGAACAATAACAAAACCTCATATTTAATGGCTGCCTGACTACAAAGGAAAACAGAGGAGAATGTAGAAGGAAAGAAATATTTTGGAAAAGACATCAATCCCCCCCCCCCCACCCCAAAGAGAGGAAAATGTATATTCTTGACAATCATTATCCTACTACAAATGGTCTCAAGAATCCGAAAGGTCAAAAGAATCTAATAACCCTAGAAAAGAAACAAGCTCCACGATATGATTATAGACCAAGAGGACACATGATGTGGTAGAATCTTGCTGGAATAAAATAAAAAACAACAACTAGATCCATCAGATTGTGTTAAGTCTGATTCAACTTTCCTAAAATGTAGAGCTCTTTATACCTGCAGTACCAGAAGGCGAAGCATCTGGACAGTACCGGCCACTTAGTAAGTTAGGATGATATAGTAGATGAAGACATCCAGCAATCTCTGCATCCAGAAATGAACTGTCCTGTGCCATACTTTGGACATGGTTATTTGTAGCTAGCGATGGTGACACAGCCCCACTGCCAAAAGAAGGCAGCATATCCCCTCCTCTGGAAGCCAACCGTGCCATTCTATCTGTCCCAATAGGTTCCTTAAAAATATATACAGGCCCCATCTCAGCAAACAAAGGGCATTGACGACGACGACGTTGTAAACCAGCTATAGTCGGCGGAGGGTTAGTCCCAATGCAGCAAAATGCAAGTGGCTTTGAAATTCGAGGGAAATCAAAAGGACGACTTTCATACAGGGAACCATCAACGTACAATCTTAGCTCACTCTCTGACTTTCCAAGAAGCGCCTGCTTGCAAGTATGTTCAAGTCCAATAAAGTACCAACACTGCGGCTTGAACGCATGAGTAAAATGCAAAGAAGATTTCCTCCCCTTCCCACTTCCACATTCAACAACCAAAAATTGTGCATGGAAATAGGCCTCCATCCCTTGATTATCAGCAGATAAGAAACTGAACAGCCGAGGCATGTGTGCTGTGCCTTCACCAGCTAGAGCGCTAGCAGCAGCAGCAGCTGACATAGGAGATGATTTCCCTGACGTAGCAGCAGCTGCAGCTGCAATTGCAGCAGCCGTAGTTGCAGTGCTTAAATTATCTGCAAATGACTCAATGTAAATCCAAGTTGCAAATGCAAATCCATTAGTAAAAGGCCATCGGCTGTCCCCTGGACCAAGCAGACCAGAGCTTTCACCATCGAACTCAAAGGTACATGCAGGACCTCTGACCTCTTTTCCAGCCATAGCTTTCTCAAGAGAAAGAACTAAACGAGATGCCCATGGGGTGGTAAGTAGTTTTGTAATGACATGAAGCCACTGATGCAGGTCGCTTGGACTAACAGAATGACCAGCTAAGTACTGAATGCAGGAGCAAAGAGGAGTTCCATCCCAATTTGATTTATCCGGTGAACCAATATAGTGAACAAAGATTCTCTCAGCTGAGTGAAGCAGCACCCCCAATAAACCAGCCACACAGCACATATGTCTGTTCCTAGTGCAAGCACGCAATATAGCAAGCAATCCTCTTACCATCCGAGTCCTAGGAGACATGAAATCCTCAAAATCCCCAACAGCAGGAAGCCAAGGAATGAGCTCACCTGACACAATGGCAGCCCTAGAGTTCAGCATAACACTAGGAGGATTGCCATCCTCATCCTCTTCAAAAGACTCAACACCTCCCATTGTGGCAAGAAGGGAATCAACTACCAAGTAAGCAATCTTAACAGCCTCCTCTCCATTCCCAAAAATCTCAACACCACTCACAATATTCTTCAGCCTTTCCAAGCTTTCTGTTTTTCCCATTATAGCAGAATCTACTAAATGCAATAGTTCCGGAGACACATTAAGCGTAACCTGTTTAGGCTTGGTCTTTTGAGGAGACTCAGCAGGAGAGTATCCACTATCTACATGGAAATGCAGAGCAGAATCAAGACTAGCAGAAGAGGATGGTACTGTAATGTTATTAGTCGAATCTCCCTGGGGCCCTGGGCTTGAAAAATGGTGATTATGATGCACCTCTGCATCATGGGGAGAGTTAAATCCAGAGGTCGAAGCGTTTCCAAAGGAAAACTCGAATGTTTCCTCACTTCCACCAGATGAATGTCTCAAATTATCTGGACTAAAAGACCCATGCACATCCTCAGCAATTTTATTATTTTCTTTCAGCGGAACATGCTCAAAAAGATCATCGTCTACAAGAGGAGGAGATGAATCAACTCCTTCCAAAACTACATTGATACCCTCATTATCTGCAATATTACTATGTATCTCAACTTTTTCTGTAATGGATGTTCCTACACTATGGTCTGCACCATTTCCTTCACCACGAGTTTCAGAATTCCCACCAGAAAATCCTCTACGGTCCCTTGTTTCTTCTTTTTCTTCCATTTTATAATTACAACCACTTACTTGACCTTATAGAGTCCTCAACTCATTTACAATGTAATTTTACCTGAAAAGAACATAAAAGTGCTCAATCACTAAAAAAATAAGGACAAAAAGAAAAGCAACACAGTTAACACTAAAAGAGAAAAGGACATGCCAAAATCACAAATAAATGTAGAAACTTTACTCAAAAGAGAAGATAAATTAAACCACCAACAAGAAACATCAGTAAGATCCTGCAATGAAGTGAAATCAAAAATTTTAGAAGTTCAACATTTTGTTAAAACCCAGACAAAAAAACTAATTGATTTTTCCACTCATACGAATCTTTTTCCCCGTAGCTCAGCACAACATCAAGCAAATTCATAAATTGGGATTTTCATAAAGATGGTGATCAATGCAAGCTCAGAATTCAAACAATTCAAATTATTGAAACCACAACAAGCAAACATTGATTTACCGAATAAATAAGAATTTCCCTTTTCGCAAAGATAAGGTGAGAAGCAAAAAATAGATGAAACTTGGTACAGAATAATCACAAAATTAACAAAACTTGTAGAAACAATAAAAGTCAAGACTGAAGTTACGCATACTTGGCAACAGATCTAGCTTTACTTAAACCATGCATTGCTAATTGCCAAACTTATGCTATAGCGTCGATCATATATTTCCCAATACAGAATCAAAAGATCCCAAATTTATAAAACCAATCTATCTATGAGGATATCAATTAAGAACAAAAATTAACATGGAAAAGCATAATGTTATTGAGTGATTCTTACCTTAAAAAATGGGGAAAACAACACTGATTTCAAGTAATAATTTACAGTTGGATTATTAATTACGAAAACATTATGTTTTAAATCAATAATAGAAATGGAAAATTGAATCAGACGGGGATCGAAATAGGAGGCGAGAGAAAAGGCCTAGCAAGCCAGCTATAATTAACATTACAGTGTTAATTTCTTGGCCCAACGGGCTTCTTGATGTCCCGTAAGGGAAACACTTATTTAGCCCCTGTTTGGCCCCCATTACGGGGAAAATTTAATGTATGGAATAGTATTTTTTGAAAAATGAGTGATTGAAAAAGAAAGAAAATTTTTTGATTTACGTGTAATATTATTTTATGGAAGATTGTGTAATTGAAAATAGGAGAGAGAAAAATAGAATGTAATGTAATGTAATGTAATTAAAATCAAACAAGGGCCTAATAATTAATAAAAGTGAAAATTACGTTGTTCGAGATCTTTGAAGGTTGCATTGCAAAACGTGGGGAAGTTGTTTTTTCTTTTTTCTTTTTTATGTATAAGTCAGGCTTTTATTTAATTATTAAATGTGAAATATCTTTATTATCATTTAATAATTAGTCGACAATGTTGAGTTTTCTTAATTATCATAATTCAAATTACAATTTTCTTAACTACCATATTAATCAACTCCTATCTCCGTCTATCTCTCTCTTCCCCACAATTCCTCATAACATCTCCAAACCCTCTTTCGTTCGAACTCATCCACCACGACTCCAACAGATAGCACCGTTTAGTTACTCTCCATTCTCACCATTGTTGAATTCATTTTGTGCAGCGTATCGCTATATCATCAACATCTATTACATTGTCCATAAAAATCAAATTCAAATGGAAAAATCGAAGAACGTAGAAGGGGTTATTAATGTCAAAGACACTTCAAAAAGAAGAAGAAATAAGAGGTCTGATGAGAGTCCCAAGAAAAACCAATGAAAAAATACGCAGTGTCTGTGATTGAGCGGAAAAGACAGTTGAACAAGGTTATTTCATTTTTTTTTATCACTTTAGCGAAATGTAAGTATGCGAAATTGTTTGGTATGAAGTGTTTTTTACGTACTAGACATTTGTGAACTTTAATCGGTTTAAGTCAATTCGGTATTGGGCATGGCCTAAGGTTTTGGGTGTGAAAACCATGTGTATGGAAATTCATATATGCTTATAATTTGATGTCTAATATGTTGCATGATGTCAAATGATCTAAATGTGACCATGGTAGACGATCTGTGACCTGAATCGAACATATATGTGACAAGGATGTTCTAACAATGAAGAACTCTTATTTGTGACCTTATTCATTTGATTAAAAACTAATATACACATATCCGCAACCTGAGTGCACATGAAGAAATTTATTTAATGTTAAAATTGCAACACACTACTGTGATATGATACAAATCAAATTGTTGGTTTTTTACAAATCTTTTAGTTGATTTTAATTTGTTAGTGACAATGCGGTTCATGTGACCTTAGTAATTCAAAATTGTTTGGTAGGAAGTGTAGATTATGTATAGGACATTTGTGAACTTTCGTCGGTTCAAGTCAATTTGGTATTGGGCATGTCCTATGATTTTGGGTGTGAAGACTATGAGTATGAAAATTCATTTGTGCTTAAAATTTGATGTCTTATATGGTAGATGATCTATGACCTAAGCTGAATGTATATGTGACTTGGATGTTCTAACAATGAAGAGCTTTTATCTAACAATGAAGAGCTTTTATCTGTGACGTTATTCATTAAATTGACCTAAGTGTACATGTGTATGTATATGTGACCCGTTTGATAGAGTATGTGATCTTAGTTTAATCTCTTTTGTAACATATTATCTGCGTGCGATTTCACTACAAGTGTTTAACATTGTTTCAATCTAAATAGAGGCTTGGCAATTCATAATACCAGAAGACAGGTGGTTTCTTGGGAAAATTACAACATCGGTCTGTAGAGATGTCTTGAATACCATTCAGAAAAGCTTAAACCGACGACGGAAATGTATATTGACGGGAACCTATTTTGCCCATTTTTCTGATTTGTGACGAGATTGTGATACAACCACAACTAATTCACTTCTTTCTTCTGAGGCAGGTTTATCAGTCGAACAACAAAGAAATGTGGTTTTATGTGGCTGGACGGTATGTGAGGTTCTCCATCTCTGAGTTCTGTTTAGTCACAGGCCTGAGATGTCATGGAGAGTGTGACACACAGATATATGACAGTAGACCATCGAAAATTGAAGACAAAATACATTTCTCAAGTGGAGACTACTTAGCTGGTCATTTCTCAAGGATATATTTGACCACGAAGGGCCAGGAATTGAAAAAACTTGTAGAATCGTGATTGACTACTTAATTCTTCACATACAAACATTGATTTCTCACAAGAAGAGCGGATATTGATTTTGGTATTGCAACCTAGAAGCTATTCATTGATTTAATATCATAATTTCAAATCTTGAGGTAAAAAGCTAGATTATCTAACCAAAGTATTTTGCATGTTTTCGTTTGTTAAGTTAGGTTATGACTTTGTTTGAAGACAAACAAATGCTTAAGTTTGGGAGTGTATTTTATACACTTATTTGGATTTAAAAATAAGACTTTTATAGTTTTTTAAGCAATTATAGCATAATTTATTAATTTTTTATTAGGTAAAACTCGATTAATGGAAGTGGAATTGAAAGAAATAAGCGAAAAATAGCGAAGTACAAAGTTTGAGGACCAAATTGTAAATATACAAAGGTTAACCTGTGTAACGCCCCCGAAGATTTTGTATAAAATAAACTTATTCACTATATTTTTATATTTGTGAACTAAAGCGATATATGATTAAATCCAATTTTAATTGGGTTAAATTTTCATTTTTCAATAGAATTAGAATTAGTATACAAATGTTGGGCTCATTATGTAGCTCGTATTAAATAATACTCATTGGACTCGAGAAATAAGTATTTCGTATAAGTTATGTCCATGTTACTGATGTTGAAATAGATTACCTAAATGTGCATTATGTTAATATTGATTTTAGACCTTTTCAAGTCAGCCACACATGTGCTAATTTAAATGAAGAAATATTTTCTTTGTTTGATGTTTGTTGAGAGGTAAATTAGACTTTAAAGGCACATTCTTGTCATAGCACACTGTACACCATGCTTTATGCCACCAAAAGGGTCATTTTCTTTTAGAATAACTAAGTTGGCCTTTTGAAATCATCTAGTTGGCAGAAACGTGTAGAAATCGTGGAAAAAGGTCGGTTCTCTTTAAAATGCCTCAATTTGGGAATTGATAAGACTTGTGAATTAATTTTATTTTAATATTCACTGCTTTGATCTTGATGGGATGCTGGCCACGTGCAAGAGGAAAAGGTCCATAAAGGTAAGGAAAATTTGAAGTTGATTGCTGTTTCTAAATATGGTTGGCAGCACGTTGGAAATTAGATTGATTTTTGATAGGTATGAGTAAAGGACAGTGCTGTGCACACAGCATCGTGTACAGCCCTCTCACAGTTCGGGGGGCCCACATGCAATAAAAATTTTGCGGGCCCCCCACTTGTGAGGAAGCTGTAGCCCGAGCTATACAGCTTGGGCTGTACCAATAGCATTTTCGATAAGTAAATCACCCCTTGATTAGGATAAACATAAATGGTAAACGTATGGAACATGGCACCTTGTTTCAATTATGTTGAACCTAAATTTTGCTACTAGGTCCGGACCCTATAAAGACACCCATTGCATCCAAAGTTCTTCACCCAAAAATATATACGCTTACATATGGCAGAAATACGAGAGATTTTTCTATTTGATCTATCACCGTTCCTTTTTATGGAAAGGTCTATATTGTCCTTAATGAAATGATTCTTTCTATATTGCAACATATATCTTAATCTTTTAATTATTTTATCTTCTATTTACCCTATTTTGGATATTTGAATATAAAATCATTCTATGATCTAATAAATAAGAATAATCTGCAACATATATAACATATTTTCTTAATAAAATACCATATTCTTCAAATGGTAAATTTATATTTTTAATTGAAATATAATATTCTTTATTTCTTTTAACATTCTTTCTAATAAATTATCTAATTCTTCAATTGTATATCCTGGCATTTATCAAAATAATCATCATGCAATTGTCCTTGCGACTCTTTTAAGATCTTAAAAAGATTCATTCTAATTTTAGTAAAAGTTTAATAGTTTTACCTTAGATTTGATCTAGATCTGTATTCTTAGAATCGAGTGACCTTTGAACTCTAAATTTGTAAACTGTTTCCTTCAACGGATTCCTGCCTTTACGGAATTGTTACTATTTCAACTACTTGCTCCTACTGTATCAACTTCTAAAGAATAAAATTTTAGACTTCTGTTAAAGAAAACTCTCTTTTTACTAAAATAAGAAGGAAACTTTCTATTAGATCTTTCAAGAATCTATGGGAAAAAGATTTAGAAACTCATATTGATATCAAAATATTGGAATTTTATTTCTATCAGGATTGATACAAGACTTCTATTTGGCACAAAGTGATTTTCAGAAAAACTGATTTTTTAAATTGAGAATGGGCTATTCCTTACAACTCGAGAATTCAAGAAAGGATGAGATGATATTCTTTTATGGTAATGTCTCTACTTATACAAGTTTATGAGATTCTATTACATCATTGATTGCATCAGTAAAGGCACTCTTACCTCTTTATTTTCTTCCTTAGGCCTACATCTTCACATGCTGGTTCAACTTTTCTATCCAAAGAGCATCTTTTTCTATTATTGCTCATTATCTTCAATGTCTTCACATGTAGTATTATTGTCCTTCATACACCTTTGTCAAAAGGTGTTTTGTCTTCTTCTTTCATTTCTTCACATGCAGTTGGGGCACTCCCTTAACTGGCAGGATTCTTTTTTAGTGGTAGGACGTCTTAGAAATTGATGTATATCAAATCTTGTAATATAGTCTTTTAAAATTTTTGATTTTGCATATCCTCCATTGGATACCAGCATCCAATTTTCATATTGGCATAAGCACGAGAATTTTTTATCAAACAAATTTTTGATAATGTTGTAAATGACTTTAATTCCAAGTGTTCTTCTATGTCCGATCCATGATTTTGTCACCGTTGGGATTTTTCTATTGTTCTTTGTAACATCAATTTGGAAATTGGCTGCAACATATCCAATTGAGATTATGTGTT